GAGGGGCTGAGCTGCTTCCTCTCATCCTTTACTACCAATGAAGAATGCACTCCATTGGAATGATGGAGAGGAATCTACAACTGCGGAGCTCTCCTTTGCTCCTGTGACCACCACACCATGTCCAGGGCTGAAATGAACCCAAACCAATTTAAAATGAGAGCCAAGCTCCCTTAGCGCTGCACCTTTACCAAAAGCAAAATGGTATTTATTTGAGGGATGGAGGCAGTAATCATTTTGCACTAAGAGCAGAGTGTAGTTCAGTCTGTTGGTTTCCACTGATGTAGTGAAAAGTGCAAGCGTCTGATGACCTCAGGTTTACAGGAGAACTGAAACCAGGAAAAAGCAATTTAGAATGGGATGAGGAAGTACTCACTTGAAAAGTAATGCTAGGGAAAGGTTGACCAGAAGCAAAAATCAGGTGCTCTCTGAGAAGCTGAGACTAAATGTTAAATTCCACTTTTTTTAATGTGCAATTTTGCAAATAATCTGTGGCTGTATGAAGAGCTTGTGATGATTCAGCCCGGGATTGAAAGAGTAATCTTAGAAATGCCGGACTTTATAGGCAAAAATTCAGCCCCTGGCTCCAGCATTAGTAACAACCAAAGGTTGTCAGAGGCCCGAGGTAATGCTCTGTGCTCCTAACCCCCCTGGGGAAGCTGCATTTCAAACCAGTGATGCCCGCTCCTTTATCCGGAGTTGCCACAGGTGACATATCTTATGTCAACAACATTCCCAAGGATGCCACTCAGGGAATCATCAAATGCCACAGTGCCAATATTTTGGCTCATGTTGTGGAACACAGTTTTCTGTTCAGAGTCAGTATGGGCAGCACAGAGGGAAAGGGAAGAGAAGAGAAGGGAACTGGGTGGGCTTTCAGGTCCTTTCCGACCTCTGCCATTCTGTGATTCTATGTGGTGACCTTATTGCCTTCCACTTAATAGCTTTTCGTAGTAATATCGATAGCCTTGTTTGCTTCAAAATGCATCACAGCCAACAGCTCTGGTAGGATCTAATTATCTCATTCCCATTCCGTGTAAGAACACTTTTAGATAAACAGCATGGTTTCAGTGCTGTTTCAATGGTCATGTCATGCAAGCCATCTGTACCAAACAAGAGTCTGTTCTTTGTTTCTCTTGACTTTCCCAGACAACAGCATTGATAGCTCTAGATAAAGAAAAGCAGCACTGCTTCGCAACAGAGACTGTGCTTATTCCCAGGCAGATGTCATGACGGTGACAAGTGAGCAGTTCCAGTTGTCCCAAGGATGGCAGTGCAGCAGGTGGCAGCTGTAACCCTAGAGCAGAGCATTGCTCTTTGTCTTCTCGGCTAAATCAGGGAGCTGTCACCGAGCTGCTCCCCGTGCCAGCAGCCCTGCTCCAAGCAACCCGGGGAGCTTTGCGTATCACTGGAGTGAGGCTCACATTCTCCAGGTCAGTTGTTTTGGCACAAGAAGGCAAACTAGCTGAAGACACTCGTAATCACAAAGTACTTTTTTGATGCATTCCTTGAGGAAAATCATACTGAAGGAACAAATGGAAAGCTCCTAATTCTGGAGATGGGATGAGGCAGAGTTGAGGGGCAGCTCTGAAAGCATTAAGACCAGGTTAGAACAGACTTTATAGCTTCCCTCTGGCATCACTGTGGCCTAAATATCACTGTTTGCGACAGGGAGGAATGATGCAGCAGAGCTGCGTGAAAGAACTTGCACAGCAGCCGGGCAGTAGCCTTACACTCACTGGTTCTTAAATCATGGAACGGCTTAGGTTGGAGGGGACCCTCAAGATCATCTCGTTCCAACCCTCAGCCATGGGTTAGTTGCCCGTGTGGTGCATGTAAATCTTTTTCTTTTCAGAATGAGCATTTTTATTTTGAGAATGAGCATTTCATTTTCCCCACTGATGACACTGAGAATAACTCCCAGAATCAAGCCTTCATTTACGTGTTATGAGGAACACATAATAGTCACAGCCAGCTGAAACGTAAGAGCTGGTGTTGACCCTGATCTAATAATACATTGACATGATTTGGCTGGGCTTGCCATTCACTAAAGAGACATCAAAATAAATGATTTCAGTCCATTATGCATTAAAGGCAGCATCAAACCAAGGGAAATTTCCAGAAGAGGTTAAAACATTCATAATTACTTTTTGTTCCTCTGTGAGCCTCTATCCTAAAGAAGCAGAGGATAATACAATGTTTAGTTACCCAAATTTTGGAGGCACCTCTCATTCCGTGCATCACTGGCAATGGCAATAATTTGCTTGATCTAAAAATCAGTTTGCAATTAGTTGTCACTGCAGCAAACGGCTCAGGCAGCCCTGCATGGGTCTCCCCATTGTCACAGCGATGGCATGGCAGGATGCTATATTTAAGACTTGAGGATGGGCACTCCAACATGGGGAACATTCTTTTGGGGAGAGTCATTCTTAGTGTCATGAACAGGGAATAGGAAACGCTCCTTTGTCCTTTCTCTTTCGTGGAGACAGGCACTCTCACTGTAGTCTTCATAGGGTAAGTTGATTTATCTGCAAATAAACTCCGGTTTACAGCCGGATTTTAAATGATTTCATAGCAGCATCTTTGTATGATCCTGTTATTTGCATTGCACCACAGAGATGGGTTGTGCTTTGTGATTGATCTGCTCTGAAGTGTTGTTGCTGTTTTTCCAGTGTTGTTCTTAGGCAACTAGTTTTAATTGATGTTTGCTCACAAGAATCTATTTTGCTTCGTTGATTTGTTAAGAAAAATGCACATATTTGGATTCAAAAATGTATCTTTTAACTGCTCAGAACTCTACTGCTTTGCAACAAACACCAGATTATAGAGCACTGGAAAATTACCAGGAAGAAAAACAGAAAGCAGTATATATTAAAAATAACCTCAGAACAGTAACTGTCTGTGTATGTGGAAGCAAAGATTTGATGCCCTGCAGTCATTTTGTGGCTGAAATAGTCCTGAAGAGAGTCATATTCTGGGAAATAAAAAGATATTTCTTTCTATAAAGATCTGTTTTATTTTCCCGTATTTTGTTCTTGCCAGTGCTTCTTTGTTTCTGCCAAAGTCAACATCCGAGAAGGAAATCTGTATTTTCATCTGCATTTGGGGATATTTTGCTCTAACCAGAACAGTGCTTTGCCATGCTGCTGTGCTTCTCCATGGTCTGGTCTTGCACTAGTTGTTTACTTTGACAGAAAATCAGAATGCTTGTCAGAGATGTGGGGCAGTCATGTTTATTATGAAGTATTAAAAAGAGGTAAAGCAAAAATGCAGCGAAAAATCTGTCAAGAGAAAATTCCAAGAACAAAGTATAAGACAGGAGCAGATTGGCAAGTGTGTTTGGTATCATTCAGCACCATTACATCTCCAAAGAGGCAAAGCAGGAAGAAATGAGTGTTGAGCATTCAGAGTGGTAGCTGAGCCTCGTGCTTTTCCCATGCAGGCAGGCTTACAGGAAAACTTAGAGCTCGGAAAAGAAGAATTCCATTGCTTCAGGTGGCAAAAATCAAAGAAATAACAATCACTGACATTTACTTACTCCTGTATATTTCCGAATCAAAGCCCGACTCCTTTCCGTAATAGTCTACAAGACAAGAAGGAAATGCATTTAGGAAATCTATTCCGGTGTTTATCTTCCCCTCAAATATGTACAATGACACTCAGCAAACTGCTCTTTTCTCTCAAAGCAACTCTTAATGTGACCTTCAAAGTGTCATCAGGCAGTAAAACATCAATTTGCTTAATGACAGAGGTCGTTCCTCATCTGGAGGGCAGCGAGTCTCCCACAGAATTCCTCTTTCAGCAGCTGTGGTTCTTTGGAGGCATTGCCCGCACCACCCAATGTTGCCCCAAGAGCTGTTGGTATCACAGCACAAAATGAGATGATTTGGAGCTGGACTCTAAGAACCAATGCACTGAAACGGGATGAAACCGAGGTGCTCTCTTACCTCTAAGCCCCAAGAAATGCACATAAAATAAGATATTTTTTCATTTTGGCAATAGCAAAGCTCACTCATAAGCACAAGACAGTATTGCCTGTAAACAGCTGAAGTGGAAAGAAATGGAAAGGATGAGAGGGGAAGCACAGCCTCATGCTGGGTCCTGTGAGACCTCCATGATGTCTGAAGGCACAGTGAGTTATGCTGCAAGAATCATGGAGCCCAGAGACCATTACCAATTGTTTTCAGGGAGAAACAAGTGATTCCTTGGGATTCACTCGCAGGACTGGATAAAGCATTACCCTGTTGAAGTACTCACTGTAACTGTCAGCAGCTTTGATATGCAGTTGTGTTATATGGGGGAAGAATTGCCCTGTGTCAGCAAATGATTAATTCCAGCTAATACAGCCCCCAAGTGATTCCTGCCCACATGTTTGGTGCAGCTGCACTATATGATCCAACCTCTACCACATTCAGGCAGGGTCAGAACACGGTGCACTTACAGTCTGAATAGCAGGGCACAGGCTATTTGGCATCCGCTCCCCCCACAACATTGTTTCCAGACTGAAAATCTGCTTATATTTTATACTTTTCATTCATAGTTCACTACCTGATGTTCTGTATTTATTTTATCCCTAATCATCAGTGTTCCTCTCATTTCGCTTCTCATGGCTCTCCTCACTTGCCTGTATGCTATATTGGGGGTCTGAGCTAATGGAACACCCTGGAAGAATATCCAGATGCTTTAGAGCATCAGCCTTCGGAAAACAGATCAGCCCACAGAACGCCGCTTGCTTACTCTTCTGTTTAAACTTCAGCCACCTTTAAAGACTTTTTGACTTATTTGTCTGAGTTCACTTTCGGCTGATGGGTCACAAAACATCTCTTTCTTAGTTCAAATGACAGAAGGCGGTATTATATGAACTTTCATTTGCAGCATTTGAATGTCAAAGCAAAGTAAGGATATAATGTTAACTGAAGGGCACTTTGTTCAGCTGCCTTGTTTGAAAGTCATTTTATGTTTTATTCCATTCCAGCAAGAAAGTTTGCCTCTGACTTCACAGCATGGGAACTCAAACATTCTTCCACCATAGAGAGGAGGAACAAAAGGAGGAGAGGCAGCAGAGGTTGCAAATGACCTCCACGACTAGAAAGAAAAGGTTCAAAACCAGGTAAGCACAGAGCTAGGGATGGTCTGAGTAAATCAGGTCCACACGGGACTTTCTGAAGCACTGCACTCAGTTTTGAATACAAACAGCTTTGTTGAATGTTTAATTTATGAAATTATGGGCAATTGTCTGGATTCTTTTTATGTGCATCTATCTTTGGAAGTGAGGAAGAAGAAACTTTCAGCCTTTCGGAGTTATCCATAGCAGCTGCCCTTGCCTTGACCTCTGAAACACCACGGTAAGTCAAAAATCGCTATAACAAAAACAAGCATTGTGTCCAATATCACCTTTCTACGGGGGTCACAGGTTCCAACTCATTCCATTGGAAGCAAAAAGACCAGGTTCAATCAAGAGGTTTTTCTTTGAAAAACGCCATCTGCAAATGCAGGAAACTAAATTATATTTCCTTGGTTCCTGTAGTGCTGAGCAACATTACCTTTCTCACAAACAAGAGCTTAGGAGAAACTGTATTTCATGGGAATAAATGGAAAATACAGATTCAAATTAACGAATAATGGCAACAGATGGAACTCCCTCCTCTTTTATAAAAAATCTTGGCACTGGTCGTGCTGTCCATCCTTCTGCGATGGCTGAACAACACAAGTAGTTAGCAGCATCTCTCCTCTCTTTAGCTCTTCTGACAGCTCTCCATGTGTGATTAGAAGTGATTAATAGCAGATCCCTTTCATGTGCCTTTAAAGCACTATAACTCATGGTAGCAGTGTTGGTTTCTGTGAGGCACAATTGCCTGACATCATACTACATATGACATTCAAATTGATATTTCTATCCTTGACACTTGTTTACTATAAAACAACAAAACAGAAAGATCAAAATAAAAGAGCATTATCCTAACTTTTGTTAGCTTTTGACATCCTCTGTTGCAGGAATTACAAGCTAAGAAGAGAAGCTGCCATCTTAGAGCTTGAGCAGAGGGGGCAGAAGAGAGTTTGTTTTGGGAATGAGATGGAAAAGTTGGAAGAGGAGGTTATTAAGAACTGCAGACTGCTGCGTGTGAGAGCCGACCGGAGAGTGCTTCGGAGGAAGGTCAGATCAGATATCTCTATTGATAGCAAAAATGCCTACAGGGTTATAATTTCCAAGACTAACTATCATTCAGGAGAGGATACCAAACCTAATCAGGTGATGGGACCACCTCAGTACTGTCAGCAATAAGGACAAGCCCTTGCATCTCTGTCACTGAAGCATTATCACACATGTCCCTTATGTAAGAAAACTTGTGTAACTGGAAAACAATCTCTTTCCACTGCCTTTATTTAGTCTGTCCCTGTCACAGGCTGTAGAAAAGGCACGCAGGGAGAAGGAATGCATTGAGCTGTGTTCGGGTCGAGCACCTATGTTCTGGATCCCCCTCAGAGTACACGCAGTCTGGGAGAGGATGGAAGTGACACTGACATGTACAGTCCTGGCTTCCCCACTGCCACAGGTGACCTGGTATGTCAGTCGATGCCAATAGCTCATGTTGCCAGCATGGCTAAAAAGTCTGTGTGCAAGTCAGGAGGCAACCAGAGCGGTAACATCTGTGTCCTGACAGAAGAAAGGGAGAGCTTAACAGGTCACGGAGTTTCCCAATTCCACTATTAGGACTAGTGAATATGTGAAGTACTCAGTGGGTCCTGAAGACAGCAGACAGTCTTATGGGGCTCCTTTGAGATAGCACAGACACTTTGATCTCCAGGCCTCCCTTGGTGCTATATACTCTGTCCTGTGGGCAATCTCGGGATTTAAGTGCTACATTTACTATTAATAATCAAGGGACAGAAAGAACCGTTGATGTATTAACCATTCCTCCCATGAAAAGTTCTAAGTATGCAAACATTTGAATTATTAATGACTCTGCAGGCAGATAGTGCTGGTACTGTCAGAACTCCTGATGAGGAGGACAAGAGGGAATGGCCTTAAGTTATACCAGAGGAAGTTCAGACTGGGTATTAGGAAGAATTTCTTCTCAGAAAGAGTGGTGAAGCATTGGCACAGGCTGCTCAGAGAGTTGGTAGGGTCACTGTCCCTACAGGCTTTTAAGGAAAGGATGGATGTAGTATTTAGGGATATGGCTTAGTGGGTAATATTGGTGATAGGTGGATGGTTGGACTAGATGATTTTAGAGATCTTTTCCGACCCTAATGATTTTATGATTTCAGAACAATCTCTTTGAATTATTCAAAGAACAAAGAGAGTAAGAACCTCCCACACATCTCCAGTTGACAAAAGGAAGCAAGAGACATTGTCTCAGACTCCGTCAAATGACCTGCACAGCAAAGAGCATGAAAGGAGGAAGCAACAAACCAGTGCAGAACAGCCTACAGGCAGTTTCCAAGCAGCCCTAGAGAAGAAATACATGTAAAGTTAGGATGGATTCTAGGTTAGCTGCAAGCCTGTTCCAAGTTGATTTGGGATGAAAACAGTAACAGAGAGATGTGACCAGCTTTCTACTCCTCTTCTGTGCCTCTGTGGTGTCAGACATTGCTAGCTTTAAAAGGAAGTGTTAATTGCATCAGTCAGTCTCTTCATCCCTTTCTCATGTCACCTGTGTGTTCAACTAGGTATAAAAATGGAGTCCCAATTGACCTCCGTTTAGCCCCAGCAGGAAAATACAAGATCAAAAACAAGTTTGGAATGTTGACCTTGCGCATCAGCAGGTAAGGTGTATGCTCTTGTCTTTGAGGAGGTTTATTTTACTTGAATAAGACTCACTCTTCTAAAACAAACACTTTCTGTGTGCTGGAGAAAAAGAGAGCTGTTCTGGAATCTGACCCAGCTTGGCATCGTTGTGTTGTGTTTGGGCTGAGCCTTTGCCATTAGTAAGCAATCTCAACAGTTCATAATGTTAAATATTTGTTATTACCAAAATTTTACAGCCTCGTTAATTTTTACTTCTGGGGTTTTTTTTGGCATGGCCAGAAGCCAGAACTTTGTCATTCGGGATGATACCATGCTCATTAAGAGCAATTCACAAAAAAAAAGGTGTACCAGTGTGATTTGGGACTGATCAACATGATTACAATTACGGCGGTTCATCAACCCTGTAACCCATGTGATAAATATTCCTGCATATCTTCACTGGAATCTGGTGTTTGATGGGTCTCTGCTTGCTTATTACGTGTGATTCAAGATAAAAGAGCTGATCCCTAAGAAATTCTTCCAAGCAACAGGAAAAGCAGCTTCTCAGTGGAAAAAAAAGTGTCTGCTTCTAACTCTAGGGATTAAAGGGAACCTCTCTGAATTTGTCCTGTGAAGTATGATGACTGAAACCTAAAAGGGATGGGAATTTTTTTTTTTTTTTTTTCCAGATGCTCCATGGAAGATTCTGCTGAATACAGTGTTGTAATTGAGAATCAGTATGGCAAGGCTTACTCATTTGCTACAGTGCTTGTCAGGAGTAAGTAGAAAATGTTCCTTTGCTTTTAAAATTTTCACATTCTTGAGATTCTTTCAAATATTTTCAGTACTATATGTCATATCATTAAAAACCACCCAAGCACCCTGGAAAAAAAAAAATAATTAAAAAAATTAAAATAGAAAGAAGCGAGCACTCTGCTAATGTGAAAGGAGAACACCTCTCGTTTATTAGGGATGGGAAAGCACAACTGCATGAAATACTATTTAGCTACTGCCAACCAATGTGCAATCGCAGATATAATGGCCCTTCTGTCACTTCTGGAGTCAGGCAAAATCTTCTGGATTGCATATGGACACAGCTGTCCTATCACTACACTGAAATTGTACTAAATTTAGATAGTTGGATATATCTGGACTGATATAAAACTTGTTTTGATGTAAAACAGACAAACACACACAACATACAGAATACATAGCACTCCTAGGAGTCTGGTTCACTTCTAAAGTTAAGCATGAACTTGGTGAACAATTGGTTTTCAGCGGGCTGTCTTAATGCAGTACTGCATGGAATACCATATTCGTCTCCCACAGTAGTAACCAAGAGCTAGTACAGTAGCTGGCACAGACTCTTTGGGGTCTGGTGCAAGCCAAACTCAAACGTGGTGAAGGAAGTAAACTATGACTGCCTGAAAAGGGAAATTATATCATGCTTTAAGAAATGTGCCACGTAATCTCACAGAATCATGATTTGGCTGTTCATACTTCCTAACTACATATATAAACATATATAGATCATAATTTTGTATCTAAAAGCCTGAATAGTCTAGGCCTACAGAACAGCAGACAACTGAATGCTTTCAGTATGAGTCCAGGGTTTCTGAACAGTTTGCAAGTGTTGTTCCTTGTGATTGTGGTGCGAGGCCCACACTTCTCCTTTTCCCTTGACCCTGTCTAATATTATCTTAGTAATACGATTCTTCTTTTCGCTATTTGTGTTTAACCTTCTGAAAATAGAGACTATACTAAGGCATTAATCCTTCCTCCACTGGAAACATTCCTCTTCTTGCAGGCAGGCTGATCACACCTCTTCTCCCAGCCCTATGCTGTCTGGAATGTCTTTGGTGCCAGGGTGAGGGTCTCTAGGCTCAGTGATTCACTATTTGCTGGGTGAAATTGGTTGGAGGGCCAGGTCCAGCAAGTGGTGGTGAATGGAGATGGATTCAGCTGGCAATGAGTCATATCAGTAGTGTTCCCCAGGGGATGGCTGGGGGGCTGGCTCTGTTTAATATCTGTATTGATGATTTGGATGAAAGAGGTGATGGCCTCAAGTTGTGCCAAGGGAGATTCAGGTTGGATATACGGAACAGATTATTCTCAGAAAGTGTGGTAATGCATTGGCACAGGCTGCCTAGGGAGTTGAGGGGTCACAGATTCTAGAGGTGTGCTTTAAGGAAAGCATGGAAGTAATACTTAGAGACATATTTATGGACAATATTGCTAATAGGTGGATGGTTGGACTGCATGATCTCAGAGGTCTCTTCCAACCTTAACAATTCTATGATTCTTGCAGCATAACTCACTGTGCCTTCAGACATCATGGAGGTCTCACAGGACCCAGCATGAGGCTGTGCTTCCCCTCTCATCCTTTCCATTTCTTTCCACTTCAGCTGTTTACAGGCAATACTGTCTTGTGCTTATGAGTGAGCTTTGCTATTGCCAAAATGAAAAAATATCTTATTTTATGTGCATTTCTTGGGGCTTAGAGGTAAGAGAGCACCTCGGTTTCATCCCGTTTCAGTGCATTGGTTCTTAGAGTCCAGCTCCAAATCACCTCATTTTGTGCTGTGATACCAACAGCTCTTGGGGCAACATTGGGTGGTGCGGGCAATGCCTCCAAAGAACCACAGCTGCTGAAAGAGGAATTCTGTGGGAGACTCGCTGCCCTCCAGATGAGGAACGACCTCTGTCATTAAGCAAATTGATGTTTTACTGCCTGATGACACTTTGAAGGTCACATTAAGAGTTGCTTTGAGAGAAAAGAGCAGTTTGCTGAGTGTCATTGTACATATTTGAGGGGAAGATAAACACCGGAATAGATTTCCTAAATGCATTTCCTTCTTGTCTTGTAGACTATTACGGAAAGGAGTCGGGCTTTGATTCGGAAATATACAGGAGTAAGTAAATGTCAGTGATTGTTATTTCTTTGATTTTTGCCACCTGAAGCAATGGAATTCTTCTTTTCCGAGCTCTAAGTTTTCCTGTAAGCCTGCCTGCATGGGAAAAGCACGAGGCTCAGCCACCCTCTAAATACAAGACAAAAAATATGGTGCAAGCTAGAGATCTCTGGGACATCTCTCTCATGCTGCATTTCATTTTTGTTTCATAGGATCTCTTCTTGCCAGAGAGGCAGACTTTGCCTCCTCGCTGAAACCACTATTTTCAAGAGAAAAGGAGCCTTTCACCCTCTCCTGTTACTTCACTTCTGATTTACTTGAACATCAGCGAAACATTACCTGGTTCAGAGATGGTTTGTATGCAGTAGCTACGCTTATACATATAGAATACATATACATATACGACTACACCATTTGATTTTATAGCTATATTCTAATGCTTATATGAGAGGATTAGAATTAGGGATTCATGAGCTGCTCTCAGCTCTTATCTCAATAGAGATGTTATTTATTTGCATCCTCAGGTAGAACTGCTAAATTATCTGTCAGAATTCAGTGCATCCTGTTCCCAGCTGTGAAGAGTAGCTTTGACTCAGTAATTTCACTACTCTTTATTGCTTGGATTGTTCTCCAGGACAGGGACTGTTCTTTTTGATCTGCTCTTTCTGTGCACAGTGAACACAGAGGGATGGCAATAAAATAGGATCAGAGTCCATGAGTATAACTGTGAGGTATATTATCAGGAGTGTCTTGCAGATCCCTTATCTTGCTGCTCTAGTTTTGTTTCTCTGGTTTTTGATGGTGAGTTTGGTTGTATTTTATTTTTCCATTTGGAAATGCATTGATCCTCACTCCACCAGTTCAGGTGGATCTCCTTTACCCTTTTCATGCTTTACAGGTGAGTTGCTGCAGAACTCAGAACATCAGGAACTTAAGTATCAAGACCAGGAAGCTTCTCTAAGAGTGTCATGTGCTTACAAAGAAGATGAGGGGTTCTACACAATCCGTGTCCCCTCACTGGGTGGATGCAAAGAGCAAACCACTTATGTGTTTGTTCGAGGTAATAACAGGGTGCTGTCCTACTTAGAACAAAGGCTTGTCCCCTAATACTTTGGCATAAAGGAATTCACTGCCTCATTCTCAAGAAAGTCTGTCCCAATTTTGTGCTTTTTTTCTGTTACAATTAACAGAATGTCCAAATCTTACATTCAATTGTGATTAAGATGTAAAAATATGACTTGTATTGCTGGGACACACTTAACCTTGACTCAGTAACTTAATTTTTTGATACAGAGAAGAAAGTCTTAACCAAAATAGCTTGGTGTTCCTGCAGATGCTGCAGCAGAATCAGCTGGTGCACCTGGATCCCCTCTCAATGTGAAATGCCACGACATAAATAAAGATTGCTTGATTCTTTCTTGGATAGCTCCCAGTGATGATGGAGGAAGCCCAATCCTTGGATATTTTATTGAAAGGTCTGTACTTCTATCTGTTAGAGAAAGAAACCTCATGATTGTGTTGCGGGAAATCACAAAGGAACTCCATGGGATACATTCCATTCCAGGTGTACGGCTGGGTCAGAGAACTGGGTTCCATGCAATGAAAAGCCTGTGAAAACCTGCAGATACCCCGTGCTGGGCCTTGCTGAAGGACAGGCATATCAGTTCCGAGTGAAGGCTGTCAATAAAGCGGGGATCAGTCATCCTTCAAAAACCAGTGATCCAGTTATAATGTATGACCCCAGCAAAGGCAAGAGAGTGACAGGTGTGTACTCAAAGCAGGAAAATTTGTTCCTTCAGTACAATGTGAGGCTGCAGTACAGATGAATGCAGTTTGTCCAGATTCTCCTCATTGCTAAAAACACCAATGCAGCACCCTGCTGTGCTGTTCTTTCACGAAGCCCACCTCAGTACTACTCTGGAACAGAAAACATCAAAACACTACAGATATGAAATGTCACTGAGTATGTCATGAAACATACGTAGTTATGCATAAAATTATACTACACAATTCTGTTCTCTATCTTTTTCATCAATCTCCAAGCATTCTGACACAGCTCTGTATCTCCTGCTGGATAACACTGTTCTGTTTGATATTACAGTTATTCCATATGATGAAGGCAGGATGATAGAAATTTTCAAGGATGACCTAGAAGGTAAGCTCAATCTATACTGGGCTGTTCCCTTAAAACTGACTGTTAGAGAGTGTATGGGAACTGCTGAGTCACAGCCTGAACCTCTGATTGATCACCTGAGGCGAGCCATGAGTCAGCCAGAGGAGAACAGTGAAGGCAATTCACCTGTGCTGCAGGAAGGGGTGGAGCCTGGCTGCACCCCTCCTAGACCTATTTAAGAGCTGGCTCCCGGGGGGGGAAGGATTTCTTCTGGAGATCCCTCCTTCTGGTGTTTTGTGGTGAGCCCAGCATAAGGGTAAGCCTTCCATTTATTCTCCTTTGTTATCGTAATCTACTTCGCCTAACTCTCTTGTTTATTTTGTGATTGTAACATCTTAATATCCATTGATTATACAGAGAGCAAGGAGAAAACCTACCTGTAAGCTGCACAAGGATATAGAAGCTATCATAAACAGTACAAATTCTTGTGAAAATATTGGTTTTCCTGTCTCCAAAATACTTAAAATACTTAAGTCTCCTCCTTTTTACTGAAGGATCTTATTTTACTCCAGGAGAAAGTAATCTGTTTTAAAGTAACATTTTTTTTTTTTTTTTCTTCGGCACTATATCTGAAGGCTGGATCAGGCCCTGAGCACTGATGAAGCTGTGGGTGTCCTTGTTCATTGCCGAGTGGGATCAGATGGGCTCTGAGGATCCCCTCCAACTCAAATGATTCCATGATTGTTTGATTCTAAAGCATATTCGGTTCTGACTTCCCATAGGACACATTAAGATTCCCCTGCCACCCACCAATGTTCACGCAAGTGAGGTCAGGGAAGATTATGTGGCTTTGGCCTGGGATGAACCAGATCCGAGAGGCAGAGAACCACTGCAATATTATGTGGAAAAGGTAAGGAAATAAAATCACAAAGAAAGGAGATTGCTGCTACTCCTGGACAGGAGTGTTTATTTCTCACATGGCCTGAAGCACAGGAATCATTATTGAATGCAGATAATTGCTGATGGCTGTTTAGAGTGAACAGTAGAAATAAGCCATCACTGCGCATAAGGTGGGGGGAAGCCTTGCTCTTAAAAAGACAAAGCGTCAATTGGTAAAATGTAATCCACAGAATGGTAGAAGAGCGTTAACAGGAAAACTGTTTCTGCCCCATGGGCCTCCCAGGTGCGGAAAGGCTGTGAAGAACTGTACAGTAGTCCACTTTTCAATTCCCCTTTAGTCCTTTTGCTGGTTAATGAGTACCTCCTACCAATTTACCGGTACTCATTTCCCATTTGCTGTACTCTTCCTGCTGCAAAAGGACCTTCTGTTTCCAAGGAAGAAAAGATAACATATGTCAACAAGAAATTGATCATTTACCCTTTTTAATAAAGGAAATACACATATTTTTCTAGGAAGACTGACTCTGTTGTCTGTCAGGAGTTTTAAGCTTTTGTGAATTGTAAATCGCCACCTTTTTCCTTACAGTTGCTTGTGGGCAGCAACTCCTGGCAAATGGTTAATCTGGATATGCCAGTTAATTCCCCAAGATTTGCACTCTTTGATCTCACTAAAGGAAAACCGTACCGTTTCCGAGTGCGGTCCATTAACAAGTATGGAATCAGTGAGCCATCCCTGCCCAGCGAACCCATCACTGCTGGAGCAAAACTTGGTAATTATTTCACTGCTATGCACTACACTAATGATGGAAGAGGAGATGTGCTACAAAGCTAATGCGTGGATTCCTCCCCGTCCCCCATGCCACCTCCTTTAAACTTCATGTTATTTTGTTACACAGCCGTTGCTTTGATGTCAGGAAACCTCTTAAAGCCTTAAATCCTCCTTCAATTATTTTGCAGTTGGTCAAAGCAGTATAAATCTAACCAAGCCACAGTAGGGGAATTACATTTAATTAAGTAAGGGATGGTGGAAGCCTGTGTTTAATCCAAGTGTGCTTCCAGCACTTGGTTATATGTTGGTGTTGGAAGGAATGATACAACTGTGATTGCAGAAGCAGCTGCTTTCTAGGGCCTTCAGATAAAGAGCGGTGCTTAGAGCGCTGATTTGTTTGGGTTTCTTCCTGGAACTGATGAGATAACAGTCAGACTCATGTCCATGCTTCCATTAGGCAGAGAGGAGTAGCTGTTTCTCTTATTTCATATTCTTGCATTAAATCTTCCCTAGTGTTCATTAATACTGTCCTTTGTTTCTCAAGAGTGAAGCAGGTCCCATTTCATAGGGGTTACGTGGGTGTAACTGCTGAAGCAATGGGCTGTCAGGGGAAGGAGAACGAGGAGCAACAAACCCAAACGTGAACAGACAGGGACAGTGTTTATGGTGATTTGCTCTAATTTGTAAACAGAGCTCTGGGGAAGGTGAATAAATCAGTGAACTCGCTTAATAAACACATTTGAGTTTACCTATTCTTCTAAATAACCAACTATTTTTCTGTGTGTTTTTTCTTTTACAGCTCCTTTACCACCACCGTCTCAGGTTTTAGCTTTCAGAGACACCAAGACATCTGTTGTTTTGCAGTGGGATAAATTAAAGGATGGTCTGGAACCTTTGGGCTACTACATATATTGTCGGGAGACTGGGACAGAAGAATGGCAAACTGTCAACAATAAGCCCGTGATGTGTAATGAGTGCGTGCAGCTATTGTGCTCCATTGAGATAGGGTGCAAGCTTGGATTCTTCTCTTTATGGCCAGAGTCATGTTTCAGTTAAAAAAAGAACTTCCTTCAGTGCACACACAGGCATGCATGCAAACACCAGATCGTCTTTTAGCACTAAGCGCTGCTCGTCAGCCAAAGTGCCCAGTCGCACTTTTATGTCAAAAGCCAGACTGACAGCAGTGTCTGTGTGTATCATCATAGACTCTCAGTCTGCAGAAGATAGACTTTGTGGCACGACTGGTAGAACCACATTCCATTTTTTTATGTGCTTTCCAGCAGAGTATGTTGGTGTCACATGCACAGTATTTAGAAAATCTCTCTTAGTTGTGAGAGTCGCACGTCAACTGCGAAGTCCACTGAAAGTCCTATTTGTTGTACTGGCAGTGCCAGGCAGCAGTGTGACACCTTGCTATCTGATCTATGCTGTCTGACCTGTCAGTATCTATTTTATGTGACGCTTCAGTTTGTAATGAGAAATAAGGATTTTGCAAGGAACAGTTTCTTATTAAAATATTGCCATCTATTCAAAAGACCTTTCATCTGTTTTCTGAACAATCAGCACAAACGGCAATTTTTTCTCCTAGATTTACTGTCCCTGGGCTGAAAGCTGGAAAGGAGTATGTCTTTTGTGTGAAATCTGTCAGTGAGGCAGGATTGAGCGAAAGCTCTCCAGAAACAGACCCTATCACTGTAAGGCCAGCAATAGGTAAGTAACAGATGTGCATGTAAATCCCTCCGAGACAAATCTGCCATGCACAGATATTATTACATGTTATGGGAATAATACTGAGCAGATAAGCAAAGCAACAGGGAACTGATTTTCTTGTATCCCCCTGCTTCTGTTATCATTTATGCTTGGCAAGAGTGGGCGATGTTAATTAGCATTTTGATTCAGCAATGTGTTACAGTTTTAGTACTCGTTTGGCACTGGTACAAGTGATCATTTTAAATGTACTGTTATCCTGGCAGCTGCTTTTACACAGCAGAAGTCATACTATGAGATCTTGACGTAAACAGAGTCACATCAAATGTGCCAGATATTTCTCCAAGCTGGTTTGTCCAATATGTACCCCCCTTTCCCTAATCCCTAAATCGTAAGCCATTAATGTTGGAAAAGAACTCTAAGATCATCCACCTACCGCAAGTGTTACCCATTTAACCACGTTTCTAAGTACTACATCCACCCTTTCCAAACCTGCACTGAGCAGCACTGTCCTTTGTCTGTCCCTTTGCTGCTCAGCTCGCCCATCAGCACCACGTGGGTTTGTTCTGCTGAGCTGTGGGAAGACCAGCATGACCATCGGCTGGAAACCCCCGAAGCGTAAAGGAGGAACAAAGATTCTGGGTTATTTCCTGGATCAGCATGATGCATCTGAGCTGGATTGGCATGAAGTCAATAGTCAGCCGATTCCTCAGCGAGTTTACACGGTATTAATTTCAGATACAATGCTGTCCTTCTTTATGTATAGTGGGAACCATGGGATAAGGTGCTTTCTTCTATTTCCTTCAGTCCAGAACTTTCTTCATACTCTCATAAGGTTACCACCATGCAAGGCCATGCTAATATTTTCTCTGCTTTTCTGAACACGAAGGTTAGCAACCTTGAAGAAGGCCATCTGTATGAATTCTGTGCATGTGCAATGAACATGGCAGGTGTTGGGGAAGTATCTGAGCCCAGCGACTTGTTCAGATGTGAGGAATGGACAATGCAAGAACCAGGTACCTCTCACAAAATGAACAGGCAGAAAAACACTTCCACATACACTAGTTCTGTTCTTACTTTTCAGTGACTCTGAGGGACTTCTCAAGACTATAGGTCTGTGTAAGGTGAGGTCCCAGTAAACAAATGCACGCAAACATTTCTTGGGATGTTCTGATTCAGATGTAGGGTACTATTTCCACACTTCACTCATAAAGCATCGAAGTACTTTTAATAGCATTGTTTAAAAAAAAAAAAAAAAAAAAAAAAAAAATTTTAAAAAAATTTTTTTAAAAAAAAAAAAAAAAAAAAAGAATATAGCTCTAATATCTTAATGTTATACCAAAGCTAATAACATTAAATCATGTGTGCATTTTTTTTCTAGAACGTATCTCTCCAGTTAATTAGCATAGAAAGTGTTGCTTCTGGACTCACTGTTCCCAGCTTATCATAAAACTCTGCTTTCTGATTTCAAACTTGTATGATGCGTCAAATCTTTTAATGCCATAGCTTGACAGCACACTCTTCCTTGAACAGGTCCTCCTTATGATGTGAAGTTCTCTGAAGTGAGAGACTCTTCCCTGATGCTGCACTGGCAAGCCCCATTGTACACAGGTGCAGGTCCAGTTACAGGCTATTATGTAGACATGTGTGAAGAAGGGACAGAGGAATGGAAGCAAATAAACAAGCAGTCCACAGCTGCCACTCATATGAAGGTCAGTATATGCACTCAGTATCCAAGCATTGCTTTGCAACACTTATTGATTCCTGCCACTGGTTCCTGCAGGTTTCAGACCTAGACACAGGGAAATGCTTTATTTTCCGAGTAAGAGCGCTGAACAAGGCTGGAATTGGACCCCCTTCACTTGCCTCAGATCCAGTGGTGGCCAAAAGCAAGCCAGGTATGAAACTGAGTGATGAACATGTCTGTACATGTTATGTTGATTCCTGTGAAAAGAACCGTGCTTTATTAAATATTTGCTACGCATTCCATGGCAAGAAAAAAACCCAGTCAAAATAAAGTTCAGTAAATTAATCTGCCCAAATGAATTTACTCTAGCTGTACATTCTGGCTTTAATATCCAATGTCCAGAATCGAAGAGTCATCAAGGTTGTGTAAACTTCTAAGATCATCCAGTCCAACTGCCACCAATATTGCTGACTATGCCACGTCCCTAAGCACCGCATCCACCCTTCCCTTAAACACCTCCAGGGATGGTAACCCCACCACTTCCTAAGCAACCTGTGCCAGTGCATTGTCTCTGGGAGAAGAAATTCTTCCTCATATCCAGCCTGAGAAGCTAAGCTGGTCTTTGTAAGTAATATTTTCGTTTACTTTTTTCTTTCATTCTATCATTCAGGCACAAATGAAATTGAACTCGGGGTGGATGAAGAAGGGTTCATTTATATGGCTTTTGAAGCTCCTGAAAAGAATGACTCCTCTGAATTTATCTGGTCAAAGGACTATGAAGGACCACCAGATGCTGACAGAGTTCAGACAGAAGAGAAAGGCAATAAGTGAGTAGATAATGTACAGAGAAAAATGTCCACTTGCTCCTCAGTGTCACATACAAATGACTAAGTACTGAATTTGATGTTGCAGATGTATCAAATGTGTTGTATTCTTTAAAAAAAAAAAAAAAAACCACCAATGTAACTTCTGAGTGAAAAATAAACATTTATTATTACCTTTATTTTTAAGATCTAAGCTTATATTGAAAGATCCATCAGAAAAGGATCTTGGAATATATTCAGTGGAGGTTACAGACGTAGATGATGATATCTCTGCCAGCTGCACTTTAACACAAGAAGGTAAAAACTTATAATTAACAAGCACAAAAAACCAGTGTGCCATAATTTTCTAGTATTAGATGTCTAAAGGAAAGCTTCTCCCAGAACAGTGGTGGTTGATGTCGCTTAATGATAGTTGTGTCATTGGAAAGATGTTTCTTGTTCCCTGACAGATAGAGGACAGTTTTGTTTTCAGGCTCCTAAGAAAAATTACGATGATCTTGGAAGTCATTTTTTCCATTCAGATTTCACACGCTGTCATAATTATCTAAAACTTCTCTACTGTATTTCTTGAGTTGATACAATCGATGTTCTCTTCAGACAGAGTTACCTCCACCACCTTCTCTAGTTCTCCCTGTTTGGAATGCTTTGTACTTATCTTCTTGACATAAATAAGGCTCACTGACAAATTAAATCCAATTGCTATAATGATTTTGCTTTGGTCTAATTGCACTAACCTAAACAGTTATTTTTTGTATTTCAGATCTGGACAAGTTACTGAAACGTAGCCATGAAATCAGGAACCCACGTAAGTTGGATGAGTAAATAAGCCACTTCCAGACATACAGATTTTGAAAGGGGAACACTGGCAGAATCTGGGCTCAGCTGAATTCTATGGCTTACATACGAATTCCTGTGGGCAGTTCTCTTTGTTTTCTAGTAATAAAGCTGATATCTGGATGGAATGTTGATGTTCTGGAGAAAGGAGAAGTGCGGCTGTGGCTGGAGGTTGAAAAGCTGTCACCAAATGCAGAGCTGCATTTAATCTTCAATGAGAAGGAGCTTACAAGCACACCAGTACGTTCTGGTATTTTTAATTCTGACTTATTTTCCCCTTCCTGAACAGGGATACAGACCAACTGGGCACATGCCACATTTTCTAAATTTTCATCAGGCATTTTGATGTGCATCTTTGGGAGGCTCTGGGACTTGGTTTCACACTGTGCATAAACAGAAAGCCAACTGTCTTATTCTCAAGCTGTCCAGATCTAACGTCAGGCCAAAAACGGAGAAGAGAAATGGAAAGGGAAAGCAGAAGGAAAAGGGGAAAGAAAAAAGGAAAGGGGAAAAGAAAAGGAAATGAGGGGGGGAAAAAAACACACACACACACAAAAAATTAAAAATAGGGAAAAAAACAACAACAACTACCAAGCAAACAAAAAGCAGGGATTAGAAAAGGGATAGGAGTGTGCAAAGAACTTCAGAATTTCACTGCAATGTTTTGAGGTTTTTTTGTTGTTGACTCTTGTTGATGTTATTTTTCTCTTTTAAAGCAGTATGCAGTAAACCTTCCGTAGACCTTGTCCCTTCTTAGAACTATATTTTCTGCACTGTTGAACCGACACAGAAATGCACGGTTACAAAGTGTTTTCCAAGCTCTTTGTAATGATATTATGTGCCTAAAGCAAACAAGGCGGTAAGGCATAATGATTGTATTCGCATGTGAGCATTAGGCAGGTTTCGGGGTGTGTGTGTATAAGGGATTCAGTAGTGCTTGCATGGTGTCAGAGGGTGGCAGTATTATTTACCATTGCCCAAACATGCAGTTACATGCCCCAGATATGTAATTATGTGCACTGCTTTCATTATACTAAAAATCACAGAGATCCTGGTAATCTGAGAAGTCTGTAAGACACAACAAGAAAGAAGACATTGTGTTATGTGGTTGTAACAGAAGCTGTCCTGGAGGAAAGTTTTGCTCTGTGCAGTTCTATTATACCCAACCACATAAAGAAACAGCAGATGAATCTCAGGATACAGAATATCAGAATGCATTGGTTCTTCATACCCGTGAGATGGGGGAAATGGATGAGGATGCACACGCAGAAGGGTTGTCTCATATCTGAGTGTTGTAGAAGGACGCAGTGCTGGAATCTAGTTTTGAAAACCATTGAATTTATTATATTTGCTTTGTTTTATGTAGACACATAAAATAAACTTCGTCAAAGAGAAAGGTCTGGTTGAACTGATAATCCAGAACTTCTGTGATGACGATAAAGGAGTGTACACAGCCCAGCTGCAGGACGGAAAAGCTAAAAATCAATTCACCCTTGTTCTTCTGGATGAAAGTAAGTGAAAATTCAGTACTGAATACAGGCTGTCATGCTGAGTGGAAATTTTTCTAGGCATGTAAGGACTCCAGGGACTTCTGGCAGTTGCACTGACTGCACTGACACTGAGAACGTGGAGAGCAAATTTTAGCACACATTAAAGTCATAGAATTGTTAATGTTAACAAAGACCTCTAAGATCATCTAGTCCAACCATACAGTTTCCACCAATACTGCCCACTAAGTCCATGAATCATGTAAGAAATAATCTGAATTCCTCTTCGCTTCAACATAAACTGGAGATTCTGATGTTATAAATAGGGTCTCTGATAATAAAAAAGATCTACTGGAGGAAAATATCCAAGGGAATCTTTCGTTGCTGTTTCCAAATGTTTCACATATCATCTTGCTGTGTTGAACACTCTGTATCTTGGCAGTAAACAGACTGACAAGAATTATGATTTGTACGTATTTATCTCAGCACAGGATCAGGTTGAAAATTCAGAGTATTTAACAGCTGATTAATTGCATCAAACTGAATGCAGCAAGGAGACCAGTGTCGATTTTACTGGTAGATGAGTCCAAGCAACATGAAAAGGCTAGCATAAATCACACTGGGTGAAACATGTAGGGTGTATGTGCTACTACAGAGAGGCTCTTTAACTATTTAAAATTAGAAAACAAGAAGTTTAGCACTAAAATACTTCCTATACAATATCTATCCCTATTTTTAGTTCCTGTGAACAGTTTGACCATTTTAAATGACCTTCCAATGCTTCCATGTTCTGTGAACAGAAGTTACCCACACAAATGTCACGTTACTGGACTCTCTCTAAAAGCAGTGGGGAGAATAAAGTGCCTTTATAGAGCAATTTGGCACGTGGTAATTTCAGAATACAAAATGAGTTTGACTTGTCAACTGTCAGTGATCATTTTTATTTACTGATGATGAAGAAAAACAGTTGTCTGAAACTGAGATAAATTTTACGCTCGCTGCCCTATTTTGTTTCTTACTTTTAAAACATTTTATTTTCAGGGTTTCCAGCCTGTGTTTTTGCAAGGCCAAGCTCCTGTTTCATTTCTTAAATGCATACTGCTCAAGTCTTCAATGACACTTCTATTTTCATGACAGTAATATTACATAATGTTAATAAGTTAAGGTTCTCAGTGGGGCATTAGAAATGCCTTATAGACATGTGTTACAGCTTTTAAGAGAAAGCCTTCTGTAACCACGATCTCTACAGCATTATATGAAGAAACTGTTGTTGTTGTTGTTGTTGTTGTTGTTGTTTTTTTGACTTTGATTACTGCTCCTACAGGTTTTGATAAAGTTGCAAAGGAAGCTGATGCAAAACGAAGGGAATGGAAGAAAAAGCAGGGTAAGATAAGCAGAAGATTAATGACTTACCAGGACTGTGCCAAAAGGATGGCAAAACCTGAGCAAAGGCATTTCATCAAATGCTCTAAATGTTCATATCAACTTTACGAAGTGTATTATTTATGTTGATTAGTTCACTGACATTTTAAGATCTGATTCCTCAGTGAATACAAGATCTGCTGCCTTAGGACATCACAAAGCCAGCAGTAACTGTGTGATGTAAACTGTGTGTCTGGTGCATGACTGCCCCTCCTAGGCAGCACTGCTGGGACTCAGCATGAGATGGGGGCATCTCAGTGGATCGTTTTTGAGCTGTGGAGCTGCACGGCAAAATATTTATTTTCTTTTATAGGGCCATATTTTGTAGAGAATTTGAAATGGAAGGTTACCGAGAACTGTGAAGTGCTCCTTACCTGCAAGGTATGTACATCAGTGCAACTTCGCAGTCTGGATTCCTTTAGCGTTACATTTCAGATGTGCATTTTAAGGTCTGGGAATGAACAATGCTCATTCCAATGGTTATTTGCAGACTGATGAAAGGTAAGAGACAGCAGAACTCAAACAGACTTTTTAACAGAGAGGGAAGCTCACAGTATTCTACAGCAATCCTGTAGGACTGTTGTGATGCTTCACGTTAAAAAAAAATCTCTGCATTTATAAAACCAGATGTTTTGGGGACCCCGACTTCTAAGTCTTGACTTTAAACAGGCAACAAATCTGAGAAAGGACACCAGCTTCCAGTGGTTCTTCAATAAGAAAGCCCGAACAGGTGGTGTGTTTGACCCAAGGACTGGGATAGGAACTCTCCATATTAAAAAGGTGAAAACAGAAAAGCAATTTGTTGGCTTTGGTGACCACACTAACTTGCAAAAAATAATTATTGACCTTGTGCTTAACAGTCTACATGTGTTTTGGGTGATGCCAACTAAATGAAAGAAGAATTAACATTGTAGCCTGATGGATTAGAAACGAGATGGTTTTTAACAGGGGCTAAAAAGGAAAGTGTGGGCTCTTCAGGTTCAGGCAACCTGTCATGGTCAGGTCATGTTCTAGAGACAAACTGCAAGAAGAAATAAAACTTCAGCTCTCTGCCTTTTTTTGTGTCCTGTTTCAAGGGCATGTGAAAATTCTGTTGAGGGTTGTAATTATTTATTTATGTTTAGTTTAACATTATATATTTGGATATATATTTGCCAGATAACCAAAGCAGATGAGGGTCAATACAAAGCAGTTGTTTCGGATGACCGAGGAGAGGACTACACCCAACTTGATCTCATAAAAGGAAGTAGGAGAACTTAGTTTTTATATACACATGTATATATACGTGGTGATCATTTTAAAAATCAAAAGCATTTAATGTCAGACTGGGGTCATAAAATAAACTGTTTTTTAAAAAAAATCTCTTACTCTTCAAAAGTTATACAAAGCCCAGTGAACAGATTGTTTTCAGAGGGCTTTGTGTACAATCCCTGCTCTTTTTATCTATCCATGCCAGGATTCATTTGATAATCCACAAACAAATTCTCAGCCCTGGAACTTCAGCCAGACCAAACCACTCAGAAAACAAAATTCTGTTTCCATTCTGCAGCTTCACCTGTGGATCAAAACTCCCATCTGAACCACAACCACAGAATATCAGTTAAAGACAACACAAAGCACAAAAGAAATGCCATATTATTTCAGCTTCCTGCCTTAATTACAAACTGAGTGCTAACAAAGACAGGAACATCTAAATGTAGTAAGAAATGTATCTACCAGCATATTAAAATAAATAAATCGGTGGCAAAAATTCCATATCCAGCAAGATTTACAGCAGAAAAAGACAATGAATAACTGATATATTACACACATAAGAAAATTAAGTTGCCAGATGAGATGTGATTTGCTCACTGTACTGTATTTATAAGTACTTAGATATCATTATATCTTTGCAGCCTTTGAAGACCTTCTCAAGGAGCTGTGTAGGATCAGTGGTATGTCCTTTTCTCCTCGGTGACAACAGCAGGGGAAGGGGGTGGGGTGCCAGGATAAGAGCAAACAGGACAGGAGCTGCCCCTGGATCTAGAGTCAGTGTGTACCGTCTCAAGTACAACATACTGCCCTTTTAATATTACTTTGGCAGTAGAAGCACCTTTAAACTGTCAGAAAGGGTGGTCAGTAAATGTGTCCAGGGACACAAAGCCCTGTGCACTTACGAATTATTTCCATGATCTGCACGTGCCAGCAGCCTTTTCCTTGTCACGTCATTCGCTATGTGAATTTAGACAAGTTGAGCTTTTTCTGCCTGTGAGATGCCTACTATAGGTCTCCAGAAGATATGATGTCATTTTTTCGCTCTCTGCTGGCTAAAAGAGGAGCCTTGCAGAGGCAGAATACCATCCAACATCCAACCAGTCGCATTCTCCAGAGATAAATGTCAATAGGTTGCCTGGGATTTTCTTTGCATAACAAGTAAGATTGCGTGGATGTTTTTGGATTCCCTCTTCAATTCCAGTCTTTCAATTATACCATCAGCTCTTTCTGCTACACCTCTGAAAATTCAGCCTACTGACGAAGGCATCAAAATCTACACAGATGTGAAGTACTACACAGACTACATGAAAACAACCTGGTTTCACAAGTGAGTCCCCTAAAGGCACTGGGAAGGGTTCTGAGGGTACTGTTGCTTGAAATTGTTTATCACAAGAACTGGGTATCTTAAGCCTCAGACCACAGTTTTTTAAGGCAATGGGAGATTTTTCAGAGTCAGGGCTGAAAATCACGATTCTCTATGAATTCTGAAACACATCTGGGAATTCCGAAATGAACGATCATGTTACAAATACTCTGGCGGTGCTGAGATACAAATAACTGGTCATCTTAACTGGAATAGTAACTTTGGTTACAAACAGGAAAGGAAGCTGTTATTTTCTTGTTTCAAGCTCTTTATTTCTACTATTTTTATGCTTCCACAAACCACCGTGTTGCCCCACTCTGAATAACACAGCTCCCAAACGTTACAAGACTCTTTCCAAACGTGAGCTCATTTAGTCTCCTAACAACTTGGTAAAATAGAGAAATACTGTCTCATTACGCGCATCCTACAGACACATGGAAGGAGGCCAGTTTTAATGATGTTTAAGGACTGAATGCATATCATAGGATCACTGGAGTTGGACTGGATTATCTTAGAAATCTTTTCCAGCTGTCTACCTTCCACTAATACTGCCCATGTCCTGAAGTACTGCATCTACTCCTGAACACCTCCAGGGACGGTGGCTCCACCACCTATCTGGGCAGTCTGTGCTAGTGTGTCTAATTCTTATTTAATCTCCCAGATAAAAACTATGAGGTATTTTGTAGAAGCTGAGAGCTTTAGCAAGCTACCTGAAAGCATGGATGCCCAGTGAGATATTCAAGTGACTGAGTACGTAACCCTTTACAAAATGATGGTCAAGGTCCTGACTCCCACTCTGTTGTTCTAACAGGTAGAGGTCTAACAGAAAGCATGCAGGTCTGCTAAACTGTATTGAAATTGAAGAATTTGTTTATTTAGGGAGAAGCGACTGGAAATTCGTGACAAACTGAAAGCTGGGAGCACAATGAATCAGATCTGGCTCCACATACTGAACCCAACAGATACAGATAAAGGAAAGTACATCCTGGAGTTATTTGATGGGAATGACTCTCACAAGCTGTCAACTGACTTGTCTGGGCAAGGTAAGCTGAATCAACAACTGCATTGCAGAAATTAGATCTCCCTGAGCTGCTTTCCAAGATTCCTTCAGATCTCTGGCAGCACTGCTTCTCTTTCATTTGAGTTGGAGCTATGGTTCTGTGACAGCATGCTGCTAAACTGGGCTAAGAACATTCAAGTGCCCGACAAAGCCAAAGGGAGGACAAAGGGAGGAGAAGGGATCAGTGGAAAGGACAGAAGCCTTTAGGGAGCACTGCTGAGCATAAGGCACTCCTGGGGAGGGACGTGGGAGGGCAGCTGCTCCCAGGATGTGTCTGGGTCCTGGAGGCTGACAGAGCTTATAGGGGACATCCTGGAAACAACATGGCTTCAAGTTTATAAAGACTTATCCAAACTGTTCAAAAGATTTTTTCCTCCTGAGGAAAGGAAGTACGAGGCTCTATTTTATACACTTTTACAGTTTATAAATAGATTCAGATTTCCTTATGGCAGATGCTCATGCCAAGATGAGAGTTAATAACGCATAGATTTGTGCACAAATACCTGCATTTCCAGCATTGATGCGTTATATTAAACCTACTATATCAAAAGAAATAAACAGCAACGTTCCCTAAAACCATTTCAATTTTTTTGCAGCCTTTGAAGATGCTCTGGCTAAGCACAGAAGGCTAAAGTAAGTTCCTGTCTAAATATTTTTACAGCCAAATTGATCTATTTTGAGTGTTGTGTTCGGTACCATACCTAATAAATCATTATAATTTTGTCTTTGTCTCTTCACTTTTAGAGAAGCAGCAATTGCAGAAAAGTGTAAGTAAATGAATTTCTTCTGCCAAACAAAACCAAGTGGTACATTGATAAGTAAAACTGAGGGGTCATATTTGCTCATTCCCAGGTCGTGCCAGAGTTGTTCAAGGTCTGCCAGATGTAGCCACCATCATGGAGGATAAGGTAATGTTGAGTAATCACTCGGATAACCGGACCTTGCACAGATGTAGGGAAATGACTGCTGGGGAGAAAACTCTTGGTTTTAAATGCTCGCTGTCATTTCTGGCATCGTACTACCAAGGATGTGGAAGTGACTCAAAGTCACTATTGTAAGAATTTTCTAGTTTCACAGAAGCAGCAAGAAATATTAATAACATTAAAATGAGCACCGCTATTTACATGGATCCATGATTAGACAGCAAGTTCAACGTAACTGCAAAGTAACGAGAATAACCAAATAACACATGCCTTTCAGGAACTGTCACTCTCATTTTAAGTAACACAGACCTAAGAAAAAATACGTGCGCTATTTGATGAAGTTAATCTGTTTGGAACAGAGAGATTATAGATAAGAAGCTCCTGTGGATTTTTACTGATCTTGATTTTTTTTTTTTTTTTTTTTTAATTATTGACATCATCACATCATCTGAATTTCCTTGCTCATTTGTGTCTTCATAATCTATCTCTACTATTTGTTTTGCAACAGACCCTTTGTTTAACTTGCTGTATCTCTGGAGATCCTTACCCAGAAATCACTTGGTTCAAAAATGAGAAAATGATCGTCTTTAAAGATCGGTACAGAATGGATGTGAAGGGGACAGTTGTCACGATTACGATAGAGAAAGTCTGCAATGAAGATACGGGAAAATACAGCATCTACGTTAAGAACAAATATGGCTCCGAAACAGGGCAGGTGACTGTCAGTGTCTACAAGCGTGGAGAGATACCCATTGGAATGGAAGAAAAGGAAGACCCAAGTGAGACCATAACAAGAAAGCCTAAATGAACCAGGCAACTATATCTCAGTGAATTTAGAAGGAATTTAACCCCTTTGGTTTCTTTTGAGTGTCTCCACCCTAAAATTTAGGCTCATTCCTTTATTTTTGTTTCAGTAATGTTGCAGTATTTTCACTTTTTGGTTGCTAGAAAACAATTCTCCTTTGTAAGTAATTCTCGAGTTTTTTACTGTGAGAGTGGTGAGGTGCTGGAGCAGCTGCCCAGAGAGGCTGTGGATGCCCCGTCCCTGGAGGTGTTCAAGGCCAGGTTGGATGGGGCCCTGGGCAGCCTGTTCTAGTATTAAATGTGGAGGTTGGTGGTCCTGCATGTGACGGGGGGTTGGAAATTCATGATCCTTAAGGTCCTTTCCAACCCTGGCCATTCTGTGATTCTGTAAGTGTATGTGTGCACATGTATTCACTCTCATGCTCTCTTTACAGAGAAACTGCTTCCCTGTAAAAACATGTTGTGTAGGAAATACCAGAGGGTACGTGAGAACCAAGCTATTAGTATAGGGGCTTTTTTTCGTATTAAATTCTTGTATGTTACTTATTATCTTGTAGCTGAGAAATGCTTACGTCTATGTTATTAAACTTACAAAGAGTGACACCACTGTCGTCAAGTACATTCATTTTGAAATTAGTCAGAAGTTTTCTAAGTACCACGTGAACTGGGACTCCAAAGTGTTGACCTTCACAAACATGAGTCGAATGGAACGAAAACAAGGCAGCGATACTCCCAAGGCTTGGAGCTTTGCAGAAGAACACAGACAGCTTCCCTCTGGACTGGTGTGCTGTAATTGTTACACAAGAGGGCAGAGTGAAAGTCCACAGAGATGGAAGGCATGTTCACATTGTTCTATGGTAAGGCAGATTATCACATCCTAGAATAACTCCAGTATAAGCACCCAGGCTTTGCAGTCATGTGAGCGACACCCCACGCACACATACAGTGTTATCCAATACCAGGACCTCATCCCTGCCACTCAGACAACAAGGTATTATTCTGTGTAAATGAAATTAGAAAAATTGTGCATCTTGATTTAGAATATATATATTCACAATTAAAAAAACTAATACAGAAAAGCATTTAGACTGGTATTGCAAAGTAGCTCTGTGAACACTGTAAACATGTGAATTCCATCTCAAGTGTGTGGCATTCCTTTTTTGGTTTCTTAGTGTCAAGTTTAGCTTCCCAGAGACAACAGTGCTCTTTAGAGGACAATGAAAAGATTACTAGAAAAGCTTTATCTAACTCTTTGATTTCACACTATTGCTCAGTTTGGAAAGGACTTCTGGAGATCAACTCGTCCAAATCCTGCGCAAGCATGGCTAACTACAGCAAGTTGCTAGGACTATTTTACCAATGATGAGGTGTTTTTTTTTATAGCCAGAGACTATGTTACGTACATGAGGAGTCCTTGAAGAAAGTATGTTACACTTGCTGGTATATGGATAGTTTGCAGTAATAAGGAATTTCCCGAAGTCATGAGAAGCGAGCCATCTATTGACCTCCCACTAACTGTTCTGGTCTGAGCGCTGCTAGGAGGAAGAGATTTGTTTATGCATATGAATTAAAAAAAAAAAAAATCAGGATTCTGAAAACACAACAAAACAGATGACAGCATGTATAAATGAAATGTGGTCTTGAAACCGTAAGGTTGATTAATCAGAACTAGAGCACAAGTTTTCTCAGCCCAGAGCCTTGCATGCTCCCTTCTAATAAAAACCAGAAGAGAAATAGGCTTCAGCATGAACATTTCCTCCACTTCAGGCATCTAGCTCTTTGTCTGCATTTTCTTTAAAATTACATACTAAAAATGACTGTGAAATTGTAGGAAAAAGTTCAGCATTGTTTTTCCTGTTGAAATGGAAGAATTACTGATTGGTATGGAGTAATAAAAGTTAACTTAGGAAGGTCGGCAACCCCTGGGATATGGGCTCTATTTGAATTAAGCAATATAACTGCAAGATAGTAATTTAGTCAATGTCTTCCAAAATCAACAATCATTCTTGCACGGACAACAAGGAATATCACTCGCTATCTCTGGGTGAGGAATTCTTGGTGTAATTGGCGAGAAGAAAAATAATTCACGCATTCCATTTACTTCTTTAATTTCGGTCTCCAAGTAATGTTTTGTATTTAATTTTACCTTTAATGTTCCTGTGTACGGTGGCTATTGGAAAAAAAACAAACAACCCTACATTTAATACAGATTTAGATACACTTTACTGACATCTACTGGATGAAATCAAAACTGACTGCTCCAGAATGATTTTCTCTGCTATCAAGAAACTGGAGTACCACAATTCCGGAAGAAGCATTTGTGGCTTTATTTCCACCACTTAAGTTCCAACTGCTCATAGCGCATACACTATATGCTGTCCTATCACATGACAGTAATCATCTCACATCTAAATTATGCTATTGTATCTGAAGAAATAAAAAATATATTACAAATAGAAGTTGTACACAAAAATAAAACTAATTAATCAAGGCAACACTTTGCAACTATTATGAATAATTATCTGAGTTCAGTGACCCACCAATAAACAGAACATCCCAAAAGATTTGGTCAAGATAGGACTCTGTAGAAAGCAGAATGAACGAGAGGTTATGATCATTGAGAGCAAATATGAGATTAATAAGTGTTACTTCGCTGTTAATAATTAGCTGATCGTCTCGCAGTCTGGGCTGGTGTCACCCTTTCTATAAATAGCACCCGGAGGACCAGCCAGAGCTCTGACTGTCTGCTAGCAGCACTGCCCTCACACTGCGCCTTATCACCCACAATGGCATTCAGCGGCACCTGGCAGGTCTATGCTCAAGAGAACTATGAGGAATTTCTGAAAGCCCTTGGTGAGTGTTAAGTTCTCAAATAATTTGCTCTGTTTGTGACATGCGCTTTGCAGACATCTTTTATTATAGTATTTCTACATTGTTTTTTTCTTTTGTTTGTGTGATAAACTACTCATCAGGTAAGTCTATTATGTCTGATTTGAAAAAGAAAAGAAACGATGACAAGTCCCTTAGGAAAGAATAAGTACAAGTAATAAAGTGTCTTATTTTGGTTAACACATGATGTTATAAATACGTTTAACTGTAACCAGTTTGTTAATGGCTTGCAGATTTTCAGTGCTCTTTAGCAGAGGGGCACTTTCGATAGCGCTACTGATTAATGTATGTGACAGCTACTCAGTAATCTGTAAAGAATCAACTTGGTGGTTATGATTTCATGGGTACCACATAAATAAAAATGTACTTACCTTCTTGACAATCATGGCAAAACATTCACACTTGAGTGTTTTAATGCATGTAATAGATACTCAGTAGAATTAAAACTCAGTTATAGTTGAAAAGCCCAGTCCTGCAGCACGATGCCTACACCAACCCCTTACTGCTACAGGTGGTACTTTCAAGTCATGCTAAAGACGCACTGAAAAAGTACCTTAAGGTCATTATAGTGCCAAAATCTACACAGACTACGTGGAACGGAATGCTATGTCCATAGAGAAGTGAGGAACCCAAAACAGCATTTGCCTTCAACCTCGCAGACTATTTTCTGTTATTGGTTTGTACATTCTGCACCCTGATTTGCTATTTCATATAAATACACAAATCCATAATAGAAGTCCTTTTCTGTCTTTCTTCACAGCACTGCCAGAAGACCTTATCAAAGTGGCTCGAGATATTAAGCCCATTGTTGAAATACAACAAAAAGGAGATGACTTTGTCGTGACATCAAAAACACCCAAGCAAAGTGTGACTAACTCCTTTACACTTGGAAAAGAGGCTGACATTACTACTATGGATGGCAAAAAGCTAAAGGTAATGTATTTCAGAAACAGGTGAATTTCTCCGCTCACCGTTATACTTCACTTTCTGTTCTGCAATGAGATTTGTTTTTACCATTTCCGTTAGCAAAAGTAAATAAATAAATAAAAAAAATAGAGCAAACACATGCATTTTGACCAACAGAAATTATTATTCTAAAACTCTTATTAAAATACTCCTGCTTCAATCAACAGATGCAATTACAAAGCATCGGTGTGACCTGCATTTATTTCCTATCTATGCTAGAGTCACTTCCTATCCATCTCCTAACTGAATTTCAAAATCTCCACTGTTTTCTGTTTTCAATCTGCTTTAACAGTGCACTGTGCAGTTGGTAAATGGGAAGCTTGTGTGCAAATCAGAAAAATTCTCACATGAACAAGAAGTTAAAGGAAATGAAATGGTAGAGGTAAGTGATGGAAAACTATGGTTTATTAAATGCTGAATGAAAACACGTTCTCTGTTGATCAGCTCTTCGTGTAGGGTCAATATGTCCAAAGAATACTGGCCCCCAAATGACTACATTGCTTGCAGAGCTCTTAACAGATGTGTAAATCTGCAAATTCAGAATTTTAGTATTTCAGACTAATAGCAGTGGAAAACACCAGTGTCCCTTACTATTCCTGTTATAAAAACTGGGTGCCCTGAATGACTCTCTTTTAAACAACGCTTGTACATTTAATGTATCTTTCCTAACAAGTGTTTATTAATTATTATGCTGGGGACAATTCTAAGCACTGAAGTGTGAATGGCTTTAGCTGTTGAGCACTGCATAGGAAAACAAAAAAAAAGTGCAAAACACTATGCAAAAGAACCCCTTACTATTTGGGACGATGTATTTCCACTACGGGAAGTATATCTTTATGCTCCTTAAAACAGTGATTAAATGCAGCTGATAATGGCATTTATATTTAGATTACCCCTCTTCAGAACTGGTTTTGTTTAAAAAAAAGAAAAAAGAAAGAAAGCAACCAGAAACATTCTTTGATACGAACATTTTTCACATATATTTAGGCAGGCATTGTAATTTCTGTAACTAAACTCTGTAGAATGTTCTTCTGTGATAACCTGGATTTATAAATGAATTACAGAAACTTCTAATGACTTAACTATTAATAGCTATCCTGAAGTCCAAATGAAAAACAAGTTGTATTTGTCCTCTACAGACTCTTACTTTTGGTGGAGTTACACTTGTCAGAAGAAGCAAGAGAGTTTAAAGACAGATCACCTTCTTTGTGACATCTTTACATACTTAAAATAAAGTGCACTTTCCATAAGGTGTGTCCATCTTTGCTATTGCTGTATAGTACAAAAAATAATGATGACTTCTACTTTTATACATAAAGTCACTTCCTGTTACTGTAAGATTCTGTTTTCCCCAAGTATGCTTACAGATCTCTTCTATACCCACAACAACTGAGGTCTCCCTCTCAGACAACCAAAGCTGGACATAGTTGAAAAATGCTGATTTACCACAGTGATCATTGAGAAGGGACAGAAGCTGATATGTTTCTCACTTCCTTACCAGATTAATAAACACATTCAACGTTAACCGCTTTTTATAGGAAAGTGCCATGTTCTACTGGAAATTCTTTTCTCTCTATGCTATTCAGCAAAAAAATGAATAGATACCTGTTTAGTTGACCTACACTGGGACCTCAGTGAGAGCAGCAGTAACATCCTGAACGCTGTGAAGTATTTAACAGTCATTACAGAGTGGTCCCTCGAGCCAGCCTACCTGGATCCCTCTGCATCGTCAGTGTTTGCTCTGCTTTGGCAGGGGGGTTGGACTCGATGATCTCTGGAGGTCCCTTCCAACCTCTACAATTCTGTGATTCTGTGATTCTGTGATTCTGTGCACCCTTTTCCAGACCTTAAATTCCATGTGAGTTAACATAACTAAAAACAGCATGGAAGCCAAGACGCTGATAAGCTCAGGAAGACTTTTAAAGCATCAGGACTGCGGGAGGCCATGTAAGAGTTAGGCAAATTTCTGTCTGGAAACTGCTGTGTAACTGCTGCTAACCACACAGTGACATATGACAACACAACTGTTTTCCAACAGCATGCCTGCAGAACAGTGAAAATCTTCAATGATCAAATGCTCTGTTAGTAAGTTGTAGGATACAAAATAAGAGATATGCCAGCTTGATTTCTGAATGACTTTAACTAAGTCAGATCACTGGACAGAGCGCTTCCAAAGTTACAAAACCGTAATTCTTTGCTTTTGATTTGACATAAGATAGGGTTGACACTAAAGCAAAACGCACATATGTGTGTTTCTTTTTAAAATAAACACCTTTAAAATAAAGGTCTCAGTGGTGTTCATGGACTATTCAGACATTCCCTGCACACTTGAAAAGATGCTCTTCCTATTTGAACTCCTCTCCAAAGTTCAGGCTCAGTACAGGGCTGCCAGAATCGAAAGGGGTACTGCACTCCAGACTGCAGATACATCACATGTTGAAAATATCACATACTAAAGCATATTCATTCATATATGGAATATAAAGTGATGTCATTTTAATTTGAAGGCACCAAAAAATTATTAAATTCTTCACAGTTTTCAGGACGTCACATTTCCAGCAACTGTGCCCATCCTGTCAATCCAACACTCTTCTGCCTTGGGACACCAAGGATGTGGGAAAATCCTCAGCACGGTTCTGCTGGCAAAGCCACCCAAACCTGATGACTGCGGCCGAGTTGTGAGCTTTATCCTATCGCTGGCCGGTGGTACCGATCCCCATCCACGCAGCCGCCTTCTGCAGAGGGCTTCATTTGAATCTTGATGTTAGCACTATTTGGATCTTGTTGAAACTGCTCATTTGCAATTCTAAAAGCTCTAAAGGGGTAACCCTTGCAGCAGGAGTTCCTACCCTTCAACACTCTGCACCCTTCGCTGGTTTCACTGCTTATGTGTCTGCAATAGGAATTTTCCCTGTTTTACCACAGATGTTTTGTGTCACGCACTCCCACATAACTCTGGTCTCTAACGCTCTCCTGGCTCGTGTTCCTGTTCTTTTACAGCTCGCGTACAAACGCAGCCCCTTAACGTGCTGACACACGGAGCCCGTGGGGAGCAGGGAGAGGCAGGGGCTGTTCCTTTTGTGTCTGTGGGTCTGAAAACCCCTCACCACAGCAGGACGCAACACAGCCTTCATGCTGCCTGAGGTAACGAATTCAGCCACAGAATGAGTTTATCGGCACAACGACCATTAAATGTCAGCCACAGAACTACCTGCTTTATTGTTCTCGTCAAACAAACGACTTGACTGAAAAACGGCCGCTCGCCTCCGCGCAGGGTCCCCCGCACGGCCCCCTACGGCTGCCACTTCAACAGCAAACAACAAACCGAGCGCGCGCTCCCCCCTCTTGAGGCGGGAAAATACAGCCCTCCCTGGAGAGGTTCAGAGCGCATGCGCGGAGCCTGCAAGTGGGAGGGGTCCTCTCCCGCATGGGCCGCGAGCGTCTGGTGGTCGCATTCTGCGCATGCGTGAGTCGAAGCCGCACGCGCAGTAAGGGCTGCGCGGGTTTTGGCGCCCGTGGCTCCTTTCTGCGCGCGTTCTTTTTCGCGCGGAGTTCTCGCCGGAAGCCCTGCGAGAAGTCTCGCGAGAGGCGGCGGGCGGGCGGCGGTGGCGCTGCGTGCTGCTTGGAGGGTCGCCTCAGCCTCGGCTCCCGCCGCGCCCGGGCCCCGCCGCTCGCCGCCCCTCGTGCCGCCGCCATGTCGCGCTACCTGCGCCCTCCCAACACTTCGCTCTTCGTGCGGAACGTGGCCGACGACACCCGGTGAGTCGGAGCAGGCGCCAGCGCGGCGCGGGGGCTGCGCAGGCTTTCGCGGGCTCGCCAGGCCGTGCGGGACCGGGCCGCCCACCGCCTCCCCTCGGCGCCGCCCTCTTCTCCTCCACCTCGCGCTGATCGCTTCCCAGGGCCTTGCTGAGAACAAAGCTTGGCCGCCCCGCGGAGCGCCGCTACCCGGGGATGGGGGAGGGGGGACGCCGGCAGCCGCCAGGCTTTGCGGTCTGGGCTTAAATGGGCGGTGCTGCCCGAAGGCGTAGCGGTGCCTTCGTTATGGACGTCCCCGAAATTCCGCGCGCTTCGTTCCGTTACTGCGGTAGTTGCCGCCCGCTCGTTCACGCTGGTTGTTACGGGCTGCGGCCTCCGGTGGCGCTCAGTGGGAGGGGAGAGACGGAAAACGTTTTTCTCCGTAATAATTATGTTGTAGCAAAACGTAAACGTACGTGCAGGGGCTTAAGGGAGAGATCTTCGCAATGAGCGAAAAGAATTAAAAGGAATCCATTGCACGTCGCTGTCGGAGTATTGGCGTTCTCCGTTCCGTTTCTGCGGCGCGGCGGTTCTGCTGTTGGTGATCGTGGGGTTGGTGTGGCAGTCGTTGCGAGGTCTGGCTGTGTAAATCACAAGCCTGAGCTCTCAGACCTGCTGCCCGGAAGGTTGCACAAAAGGTGTTCAGTTAACAGTGGCGTAGGCATGGCTGAATGAATTAGGAACCTCATGACCATAAAGAATATAAGTAATTTCAAATTAAAAGTGATTCTTCTTGCACGGCTTTTCTTTCTTCTTTGCCTGCAGATCATTTTCTTCTAGAAGTCATGGAAGAAGGCTCGTTTTCAAACTTCTTTTTTTAACTGACAGTGCTCCCTTTTAAGCTTTCAGTGTAAGCTTACTGTTACATGGCTCATTCCTGTTAGAGATGGTTCCATTGTGAGACCTTGAAGCTGGTTGTTATAGCTGCCTTCTGCTGTCATTGATAATGTACAGTGTAGTTATTTTTCCAACAAATGTGAAAGAGGAATAAGCATCAGTAACTCCTTGATGTAATATTGTGTTTACGTGATGTGAATGTTTCCCTATTGTCCTAAAATGACACCAGAAGATATGAGTAAAGACGTTCCTCTGTTGAGGAGACAGCACTTATTTCAAGTGCTGTCACAAACTTGTTGAACAGTTTTGTCTTCTGCTCTAAAGCCACATCTTTGGGACAGTTGACCTAAGGGCATGAATGGTTTCTCACTCCGGCTTTGTTCTTTGATGTGGTTGTAAGTATTGATTATTCCATAGAAGTCAGTAAGAGTGACAAAGTTATTCTTGTGCTTTTCCTTTGGACATTACAGCTCATGTTTACACTTTGTAAAATCGATGTTAATGATCAGTATAATAATTGTTAGATTCCTTTTTTCACTTTCTGCCCACCTTTGCATTGAACTGGCTTGGCTACTGTGTGTCACTTCTCGTCTCTGTTTACATTTATGTTGCTGAGTTGTGCTGAGCGCTGATTTCAAAATACCGAGGTTATCCTAAGCATCCTGAACCGTGGTGGTGATCTTGGGCAGCCTGGCGCGTTGCTTTAGCAATGAACAGCTCATACACTTCCCCCAACATTATTTGCTACATGCATCTTCTACCATCCAAAAAGATGAGTGATTGTAGATTTTTATATATATATATATATATATATATATACACACACACACACATATATATAATTATTTTTTAATACCTTAAATAGTGGGAAGACATGTAAGATATTTGTGATATTCTAGGTCTGAAGACTTGCGCCGTGAGTTTGGTCGTTATGGGCCTATAGTTGATGTATACGTTCCGCTTGACTTCTACACTCGTCGTCCCAGAGGATTTGCTTATGTTCAATATCCTTTCTTCAGATGGCTGATTAGTGAGGGGTGTTGAAGTTTGAAATTCAAGTTTGTGTAAGAGGTAACATATCTAAATGAAAAAGCAGTTTACTTTTGTGTTGTTTCTGATAAGTGTCTTATATGTGTCTCGTTATTTTTTTAAGATTAACTTTTCTCAAATTGTCTTTACCTTTTTGCAAAACTTAAGTCCAGTAATATATAAGCCTTCTTATGTCACTGAAATTGATATTATGCGATTGAAATGAAAATTTATCACTGACTCAAAATTGTCTACCAGGTTTCTATTATAACTGGTACGTAAGTAAACTTGCGCTTAGCAAACTGTGGCTAGTATTTATTGTTAATTTAACAAATGGGAACTGGAATCACTTGATCAAAAGCAGATTGTATAACAAATGAGGTGAACTTTCTTTAATATTGTCCCCTAATTTACTGTCCTCTGTTGTTGCCTCAGAATGTAAAGCTGTACAGTATTGGCGACCCCAAAGAGAAAGCATGAAAGAACCTTTAGAGTAGAGTTCAACAATTGAGGCAAGTAGACAAGCCAAAGACCTCTTAAGGATCAGGCTTGAAGAGAAGGGACAGTTTGGGAAAAGAAAAAATAAAGAAAAGCTGGAAGAAGGACAAGCCATAATGGGAGACAAAGCTTCGCTTTATCTGCAAAAGGGGGAAAAGGTTGTTTTTCAAAGTTAAAGATAAAGCCATCTGTCATTTTTGGCCAAGCATCTCATGACAAGTCCTTCTGACAAGCCCTTAAAGAGTTAAAGGTCAAGATGAAGTTGAATGGTGGCCAAGCTTAAAGGAGTCATACCTGATGTATCCTACAGAATAACAGTTTTTCTTCTGTTTGTCATGTAAGCAGTAATTTTGATGAATGATGCTGGTTTAGTCCATTGGCAAAACCTGTTACATTGTGAGTGCTGTCATAACTGTGGTCTGGAATGAAAGTGCATTCATTCTTTGGTAATGGAGATACTTATACCTGCCACTTGATAGTTTGTTTTCTGTGTAGATGCTGCTGCTGAACTGAGTTACTGTGAGAAGAAAGGCATCTGGCTCTTTGCCCCATAGCCGAAAGGTGTGTGAGTTAAAGTAGCAATCAGTCTCACAGATAAAAATTAGTAATTATTCTGTTCCTGAACGTTGGAGTGCAGGGGCTTCAGTGTATGCCTTCATCTCTGGCTGTTGAAGGTCTGTATGTATCTCCTTGGCATTATGTCATTTAAACGTAAAACAACCAGTGGACAAAAAGGAAAGCATCATCCCAATTTTAAAATTAATAGATAAATATTGATTTCTATTGTTTGTGTGCCTAGCAACTTCAGAAGTAAGATTTCTTTTCAGTAAAGTGAATATAGTGCAGAAAGTTGAATCACCGTTAGCAAATAATGCATTTTTGAGAAGGATACAGTTTTCTTCCTTACGAGTGGAAGAAGAAAAGTTAGGATATTGCATAGCAATTGCTTGCTGATTGGTAAGTTCGTGGCTGCATTGTGAGTTTTTAATTTTATTATAGGAAGTCTCAGGTAATTGGTGGTTAATTAAAAAAAAAAAAAAAAAAAAAGCTGCAGTACTTACTGCTGTGAACAAAACATTCAGAAATAACGGCCTGTAAAACTAGAAGATAACTGATTTCTTCTCAATACTGAATCTGTAAGCTACTCAAATTCTCAAGTACCTTAACACTGCCACATTTGAAGATGTCCGCGATGCTGAAGATGCTCTCCATAATTTGGACCGAAAGTGGATTTGTGGTCGGCAGATAGAAATCCAGTTTGCACAGGGCGATCGGAAGAGTAAGTGCCTCCCTGGGTATTTCATCAGATCATGGCTTCAGCCGTAATGTTTAGTGCCAGATGACGTTACCCTTGTTATTAATTGTTGTGATACATTATTGCTGATATATAAATAGTACGTGGTTGTGGGTTTTTTCCTTTTATCAAAGGATGTTTTGTATTGAAGGCACGTTATTAATGTATCCTGGCTAATTAAAAACAGCTAGCTAAGTGTAACAGTCACCGTGATCTAATTCTTGCTACTCGCTGAATGTGCTTAAGAACTATCTGTGCAGCTGTCAAGCTTTTTCTTTTTTTCAGGAACACACTTTCAAAAATTTTCCCTGTCAATTTTAATGCATTGCAATGTTTATATTGTGGTTAAGTGTGTTCTTGATTCTTTGTTGATGTTTCCCAGTGCGCTCCGGTTTCCAGGATTGAGGTAAAATCTTCATTTTCATTTGGTTTCAGGAAAATTAATTTCAAAGCATCTCACTTCAACTTGAAAAATAAGTCTTGTTTTCTGAAGAAATAACTGTTATGTATTTTCTGTTACTTACGAATGTATTCATAAGTATAGGTAGATACAGATATATTAAAGAGAAGATGCTTTCAAGGAGCATAAGACATGGCTACCTACTGGTATAGAGCAGAATTATAATAGTCATGTGCAGCTAGTTAATAAAAGTGCCTTAAAGATTTTTCAGTTAAAACTATCAAAGTAGCACTTGAAACGTGCACAGTTAACTTTTACTGAACTCAATAGAAATGATGCTCTGCACAGCAAGCATCTGTCCTGTATGGAAACATTGGGATTTCTTTTGAGTTTCTGAACAAAAAAATTAGCTAGTCTGTTTTAGTGTTGTCAGCAGGAGCCGTTAAATCATGGAAATGGTAGCTGTCAGTACAGGTAGCGCTCTGTACAGCATGGTGCATTTAAATCTGCGCTTTTTTTGTTAAGAAAGAAGACTTCTGATTTGTGTTCTATCTAATGATTTTAATATTAATGTTACAGGGTGAAGTGCGTTGTTATATAAGGGAGAGGGATCCTTGTAGGATCAAACCTCTCTGTGTGACTTCATCAGTTGCAGCTTCTGTATAAGTTGACTTTTAATAATTAAGACTGTGGATCAGGTTTAATGCGTGGTACTGTGTTTAATTAATTCACTGTTAGCTGCTTAGGTACATTTAGGAATGCTGGGACGTTTTGCTCATGGTTTAGTTTTTCAGGCAGCCTGTCACTCTTTCCAGGTGGCCTGAAATCGCATTACAGAAACAATTCTGTGTTTCTGGCTCTGTGAAGCATTCCACTGTTGTTACTGTCTGTGCTGTTTTTTTCTGTCTTCCTTTGGGTTGTTTTGGTGGTGTGTGGGTTTTCTGGGGGGGTTTGTTTGCTTTCTTTCTAGGACAGTATTACTCACAAGGCAACAATGCTTTTGTCCAGCATTTAAAGCAGCAAAATGCAAGTGGCTTACTGCAATCTCTGTCCTTTTCATAAGCGCCTTTGCTAGAATCACTAATAGGTTCTCTGCTAAATGTCAAATGTGTGGATAGTGGGAGTGCTGTCACTAAAAGGGAAGTAGGGTACTTAGAAAACTTTCAGTGTTAAATATTGTCGTTGTTTTTTCCAGCACCAAATCAAATGAAAGCCAAGGAGGGGAGAAACCTATACAGTTCTTCTCGTTACGATGACTATGACAGATACAGGCGATCTAGGAGCCGGAGTTACGAAAGGAGACGATCTAGAAGTCGCTCTTTTGATTACAGCTATAGAAGATCATATAGTCCCAGAAAGTAAGTGTAGCGTGTGTTTGGCTTCAACAGCACAGCAGTCTCTTGGAAGAAAAACACCACGTAGGCTGTTTAATTGTTAAAAATCTTGAGTATAGGCTGTTTAATTGTTAAAAATCTTGAATTTTCTTTTTTTGTATTGTCTCGTGGAAGTTATGTGCTTGCATGCTGCATCAAATCAGACACTGAATGAAATGCTTTTGTGGTTCATCAAAAAATAACTGAAAAGCAAATGCATGCTAAAAAAAAAAAAATATTAATCACTTGTATACATACATAGGTATTTGTCACTGTTTACTTTTTCTGATGTGCCTTTCTAGCAGTAGACCTACTGGAAGACCTCGTCGTAGCAGAAGCCATTCGGACAATGATAGGTAAAATAATTTTTACGCTTTTTACATTGAAAAGTAGACCATTGTATTCCCTAAATGTAGGTTTAAAAAAACGTTTCTCCTGCAAAAAAATGGTAAACAATTTTTAATGTACTAGATGTCTAAGAATAGTGTTTTTACATTCAAATCTCCTCTCTCCCCTTTATTCTGATAGGTTCAAACACCGCAATCGATCTTTTTCAAGATCTAAGTCCAATTCAAGATCACGATCCAAGTCACAGCCCAAGAAAGAAATGAAGGCTAAATCACGGTCTAGGTCTGCATCTCACACCAAATCTAGAGGCACTTCTAAAACAGATTCTAAAACACACTATAAGTCCAGCTCAAGATATGAAAAGGAGTCGAGAAAAAAAGAACCAGCTAGATCCAAATCACAGTCAAGATCACATTCTAGATCTAGGTCAAAATCCAGATCAAGGTCTTGGACTAGTCCCAAGTCCAGTGGCCACTAATAGTGAGTCCACGTTGGTTTTAGGCATGTAAGACTCATTTACACACAGTTCAGTTTACTTAAATTATCAGGAATATGATGTTGCAACAGTGCTAAAAAAATCTTTTCTTCGTCAGTTTTCCCTGTAGCAGACAACAATGGTTAAAGTTTAAAACAGTGTGGAGCAGCCACTGAGACAGAGGGAGAGAGAGAGAGAATGTCCTCTTGGTTACGTGTTATGGGCAGCTCTGAATTGATTGTGGTGTCTCAATGTATATTTTTGTAAAGATTTGCATTTTGAATGCTTAGATATCGGTGATGACTTGATTGGTCGTAATTTGCAACCTTGTCCTGTTCAAAATGTCATGCCCATAGCAATTGATACCAGTTTGTACTGAACAGTTAAACCAGCTGTTTAACGTGTTCTTTAACGCTAAACGTTGTGATGAAATGGAAAACTGGACAGCTGTAGCGCAACACTGACTGCTGTGAAATGCAGACTGGTAATTTTACGTTTTCATTGTTCAGAGGCAGGTTTCTGTGTTCTCCATGCCCAGTGACAAGTAGGTTCGTAAGTGGAGCTCTGTGGAGAGAGATTTTTGAAATTTCTCTGCCATCTGGAGAGGTGGTGCTAGTGCTGCATGTACTGCACGGGACACAGCTGGTCTTGGAAGCCCGGTCAGAGGCTGTGCAGTGTTGTGAGTTGTCAGGAAAGGGGCTTCACTGCTCTTGGCCTGGCTGCTAATACTAAATATGTGAGGGTGGAGGGGGGGGACCTTGAAATGGAAAATTAAATTGAGATTCCAGAAAATGGCAGAGCATCTAAATATTAGGTTGTGTGTATATTTTACGCAGTTTTTGTATCTATTCTAAATTTTAGTGAGCAGTTAACCATGAGATTGCTTAGTTTTCCCGCTGTTAGATGCAAGTAGATTGTTTCAAGTTGTGTGTGTACAGTATATAAGAACTCAACTTTTATGCCAATGACTCCTGTGGTTAGTTGGTGTATTCATAGGTATAAAACTGTAGCCATCTCTCTTCTCGAGTAAAAAAGGCTTGCTTTTATACATTGAGAAATATTTAGTCAAGCAAGTCTGAATCACTTCTTCCTCAGAATGGATAGTGGTTTGGTTACAAAATTTCATTTTACTTAAGAACAAGTGTTTAAAGTTGGATATGAACAAGAGCTGCATCTCTAGCTATTTAGTTTCACTAATGCAGTGCATTTAGTAAATCAAATGTGAAAAATAACAAAACCAGTGTGTAATCTTAACAGTATTTCTCTAGAAGAAGGCAAGATATTTTGTTATGAAAATGGCTTTTGGCATTGTTTTTTTTTTTTTCTCTTTGTCTTAAAAGCCAGCATCAGACACCCGGTGTTCCATGCTGTCTGTGTAGTGAATGAAGACACAAATTTCAAAAAGATCATCTTTAGAGAAGTGTTTTAGGGTTTGGTTTTAGTGTTCAGCAGGGCCTTTCAAGAAATGCAAATGGCTTTTAAATGTTAGTGGCAGAACGTGCTTAGGGGATTGATTCTAGGAACCTTGGTACGTTTGATGGTGTTTCTGACTTTTTCCTTTACTGTTTGCAGTTACTGTTCATGTTCTGCTATGCAATCATTTATATGCACGTTCCTTTAGTTTTGTAGACTTTCCTGGATGTATAGTTTAAAAACAGCATAAAGTCTATTTAAAACTGTAGCAGTAGTGTGCAGCTCTAGCAGAGGAAAGTTGTGGGATTAAACTTTGTATTTCCTTTCTTATAGAGGCTTCTAAAAAGGTATTTTTATATGTTCTTTTTAACAAATATTGTGTACTACCTTTAAAACATCAATGTTTTGATCAAAATAACTAAAGACCCAGCTTATTTTCTGCTTGCTGTAAATTTAGCAAACATGCTGTAATAAAAAAAATGAAGGAAATACTGATCCACTGGAATTATTGTAGCTTTAGAATTTGACTCCAAAGCATGGCTAGGAAGAGCTGTGCATCCTCTATGGAGTAAAATCCTTACTATAGTATTTCAGTAAAATCAGGAATTTATCATTTGTTGCCTGAGTAAATATCATTTTCTATCTTTAAAGGGGTACTAGATGAAATAAGAATGATAAGCATGTGCTTTGGTCTAACATATTGACATTTCTTTTTGGTTAACTTTCATTATTACTGGATAGGCTTCTCTATGGTTTTAATTCAGATATTAGTCACATTATGAACTACTGAAAATCAGTGACTGAAGATTCACATATAACCAAATTTCTCGCAATGGCTCATCGCCGTACGTTTGTCATATTAAAAAAGTGCCAGCTGAGGTTCTCTAGCAACTTGCTGCTTAGAATTCAAGCTGCCTGTGGTATATACAAGTAGTCCTTTGTCAGCTACAGAATAAAAACTATTCTGAGAATCACTTGAATGCTTAGGAAGTGTAAGAGTGGGCTTACCAGTCACTGGGCTGTGGATATCATTGTTGTGCATAGAAATGGCTTGCAACAGCAGAAAGCCCACACTTCTTAAGCTTCTATAAATGAATGTGCTTTTCAGAACTGAAATACTGCTTAATGGTTCACCGTTCTCTTGGGAGTGTGCAGTTGTGTTTCAATCAGCAGCCTGCAGAGGATTGCTGCACCTAAAGTTCACATTAGCCCAGCCAGAATTACGGGTACAACTACAGGGAGGAAGGGAGGGAGAACATCTTTGTAGTCCAGACTGTTTCTGATTTGTGTTGAAAGAGTAATAGTGACATACCTTAATAATTGTGTCCTTATATTGTGTGCCTCAACATTTGTATATAGCACAGTTTAATTTTTTTTTTTTTGTTTTGAAAATCCAATTCATTGCAAGTATAATGTAGTATCTGACACTTCTGATGGTTCTTTCTTTCTCTCCCAGAGGTAGGACTAAACTTTGACTTGACTTGTGTATATGAACAAGCCAGAAAAGCCGAACACAAACCCACGATGTTTCAAGAGTGCATGAATAAAGATGTTGTCCTAGTTCTTGCTCCCATGGAAAAATTGTGAAGAAGCTGTTCTGTGGGCCTTTCAGTTGGGGACGAGTTAGCAGGATGTGGCCAAAAGGGCAGGGAATGTTTATGCATTCATGCAAGTCAAGCCACAGCCTATCTAGATAACATCTCCCTTCCTTGATGCAGGTATCCCATTCCTGCTCTAAAAAAAACAAAACAGTAGCCTGTCTAGTGCAAGCTACCTGCAGGTTATGCACAGCTGGAATGCAAGAACATGCAGGCTGCAAAAGATCATGTATAAGCATCTTTCTTTTGGAGTCTCAAGAATGGTGGGAATTATGTTTTCTGTGGTAAGCTAGATCTTGTCATTCCTGCAAAATTTGTAGAATTGAAGTAGTATGTAAAATTCTGCTGAAAGTAATGGCTGTACTCCAAAATATTTGCAGAATATTGATTTATCTCAGCAGTAATAGAAGGCTCTATTGGAACTTCTTTTTCACTAAAAGTCCATGCACCCAACTGATAAATAAAAATCTTAAATTTAGTGGTTAAGTAGCTGGGTGTTTAAACTAGGGACTATGGCAGACCGGTCTCTGAAAGCTAAATGTTATCCTTTCTGTGTCTTTTAAATATGTTTAAATGTGCAGTATAATGGCTTTATTCAAAGTGGAAATTTTCAATTTAAATGTTATTTTGAACTCCGCTCTTGGAAAGAGCTTTTTTTCTTTTTCCTTAATGTTTAGTCTGGGGTAACAGCTTGGAATATACTCAGAGGCCATCTGGATTGATAAACGCTGCAGCACTGCTATGATTTTTGGCAGGAGTGTTGCAGATAATGGTTTGAAGTACAAAGGAAAAATTCACACATTTTTAGGACGTAATCACCCATTAATATTTGCTGGTTTTCTCCATTTATCTTGTAACATGCTTAAAGTCTGTAGTCCATTGCTATAATTGTCTAGAGATGCTCTTACTGATGAGACTATAATAGGAAGGGAAAACTATGTACCCTGTAGTGTGTTTGATCAAAAGATGCTAATGTTTTATTCATACACATCCTTTCTTCTGGAGTTTTGTGTTCCATCTGTGCAAATAACCCTGTGAATTGGGAATAAAATGTAAAAGTTTTGACTATAACTTGAGAGCACCTTCTGACTTAATTAACACAGCTGTAGATTGTTGCAGATTGGTCACCAAGCACTGAAACAATCAAGGATGTTTCTCTTCTAGCTCAGCTCTTGAGCCAGCCACTTATGAGGTAACAGAAAGCAGGAGCGCAGCTCTGCTCAGTTACACATGAACTGCATCTGCTCAGACTGGGTCGTCTTGCTTGCGAGTTGCCTTGTGGAGCGGAGCCTGACAGAACTTCAGTGGGCGCTGAAGTTTTTCTCAACTCCGTTGGAATTAAGAATTGAGCTCTGTGTTCATAAATCATGGGCAAGACATGAATGACAAGGCCATCATTCAAAAAACATCCTTCACTGCTGAGTAACTTCCAGGTTCCTCTGACATTCATAGACTAGAGACATGCAGTCAGTACTTTATAGCACTCCATAAAAAGAATGCCGTCCCACTTTTCCACGACCATCTTAAAACACTTTTTGGGGGGTATTTTATTTTTTTTTCCACTTCCAATTAGTACATGTGCAGTAAATGACAATTTGAAATACAGTATACACAATTATAACAATTGTACTCTTACAGCTGTAAAGGTCCAAATCAGAAAGACTTGCGTTTAAAGACAGCCACTTCCATCACATTTTGAATTGACAGATCTGTAAGCATTCAACCAGCTGCCACCACATTTGAATGCACAAAAGAACATTAAGAAGCATTCCGTAATGTCGCCAAAATTCCCTTTTGAGTTAAACCACTTTTTCAGTTGTTACTGGATTTTTGCATAATCTCAGACTCTAATTGCTACAGTTCAGTTGTTTTTATTCTAGGATCAGCTGAACTGTGACAGCACTGAAATCAATATGTTGACACTGACCCAAGAACTGAACTTCACAAATTTTAGTAAATACTGATTCATTTTGGAAGCAGGCCTTCGCTGTCATTAAACTGTCCTTTGTGACACCCAATTTGATTGTAAGCACAACATTCAGAGCATAAGTATCTTAAACTAAGCAGTTCTGTTAAATTTTATTACAAATTTCTAAATAATTTTTTTTTGCACTGCATTCATTTTAAAAATGACCCCAAGACCAAGTAAAACGTACACATTCGCTGTATATTAAGTCCAAGGCTACAGCCACAAATGTCCTTTTGTGTTTAACAAAATAATTTTTTAATTATATTTTTTAGATCAGGCCACAAACTCAGCATGGTCATCTTACATTTACCAGTTTCTAAAAATACCTCTGTGCAGGAAAGCCCAGCATAAATTTACATATGCTACAAAGTATTACATTTATTTACATGGCTCTCTTTTCCCTATCAAACACTACATGTGCCTACACAAGGTATCGTAACTTAATTATAGGGTAACCAACTTAAAGTTACCTTAAGTAACCACTCCAGCTTTCTTAAAATTAGCAAATGATACAAAAAAAATTTTTTTAGAACTTATCAGTGCATCAGAATACAAAGAATTTTTGGAAGATCTTTTTGGCAGTCACCTGGCAATGCATGCGTGTCATTAATTGGCACAGTCTGCCTTGCTGAGGTTCCAGTGAAATACTGCTGGAATGAGACTGAAACACAGACCTCCTTAAAGTGTTCTTCCACCTTTTCAAGAACATGTAAAAATGTTTCCTAAAACTAAATTTTAGTCGCAAAAGTTTGAGTGTCAGATCTCACAGGTATGAAAAAAATTATCTTTGCATTTCCACTGGCAGCTGGGTACAACTAGGAAATTCTGCTCAGAAGACTTTTAACTAGAAAATCTGATACTAGGTTAAAAGGCAGAGTACCTGACTAAAGCTTTCAGCGTGTTGGGTTTTTTTGCTGCATTGAGTTCAATAAAAGCTGGTCTTCCAATACCATTAACAAAAAGGACTCTCAATTTCAATTTTTAGGGACAGTCTCATTTACTCCTACAGTAAGTGGTGACAGTTTAGGATTTAATCAAATTAAGTATTGACAAATTCCCTATGTAACAGCAAAATCAACAAAGTACACAACTTTTGAGGTAAAACACTGGGGATTTAAACTTCCCCACCTATCCCCTTCTCTTTCATTTATACGCAGCAAGAACATCTGGTCCTGTTACCTGTGCATCTGCAGTTCTGAATAACTACTCTCAAATTTGGAGGCCTATAAATTTAAATAACTGTAAAAGATTTAAAGTTCCATCTCAAGCCTGGACTTTAAGCAGTGTTTTAAGCTGAAAAGTCATTATTTCTTTATCAGAAGGTTTAAAAGAAACAGGTACCCAGTGGCTCGGAGGCTTAGGAAGAACACTTGGTGAGGGTGGTTCACTAAACTTTGCTCCAGCATAGTTCTGATTGGCTTGAGGCGAGAAAAACAGCTTACAATTTGATAAATTAGGACTCCAATTTTGATTACAGGGGAAATCAACGCTGTTCTTTCCTGCCTTCTGCATGGCCTGCCATGCACCAGACAGTGAGTTGCATCCATGTCCTCTTTCTTTCTTCATATAGGTTTTCTTCATCTGTGAATTCTGGTCTTTATTCTTCTGCCTGTTTTTAAGTTGTTGATGGTTCTTGGTAATATTTCTAGACTGGGGAACCTGAACGTTGAACTTCTCTCCACCACCCATTTTCAACTTAAATGTCACCTGTAAAGAAAGGGAAAAGTTTGGATTTTTCTTTTTTAAACCCAGAAAAACTGATGTGTCTTAACAATTCTGCTGCTAATGGCTGACCTGCTGGTCATCATGCATTGATCCATCCTGTACACAGACCACTCCTTTGTGTGCAGACCTATACCAGTGCGCACCTTTGTCTACCTATTTATGAAAAAGCTGGTCCTCTGGACAGCCCAACCACTGGACGTGCCACCACTTCTTCCCTAACAAATTGTGCTATGAGGAAAATGTGAAAGTTTTACTGTTCGCAAAACACAATATCAAATGAAAAGTGTTAGTATTTAATCTTTAAGACATTTAAACCAAACCTGTATTATACTTAAGTGATCTGGGTGAAATCTGCACTGATAAAGCATGCCCCAGTCTAAAAAAAGACTATTTTGATTCCTGATATTCCTAAGTAGTTACACAGTCAGTCAAGGCAAAGTAGAGATCTACTTTCCAGAACCGATTTTTCTGGAAGGAGACAAGGCGGTAGCACACAGAGGCAGACCAGGGCATACCTGTGGAATACAAACTAAAAACCTAAGTGGACTGAAAACACACTCAAGTGTGAAGGAGCCATTTGTAACTGGATCTCTGAAGGAAAACCAAGATGCTGCCACATATTTGGCACCTTGATGCTGACTCTCCTGCAGTCATCCTATTTCCTCCATGTCTCATTTACCTTTCAGTAGTCTTCTCCGATTCCACTCTCTCCAATTCTTGCCCCCTTTCTTGCTTCCAAGCCTGAAAGAGTAAGTGCTGCCTTTCTCTACACTCCTTCCTTTGGCTAGGAACAGAAGTTTTCATGGGCCGATCCGCTGTATTCAGCCAGGCAGCCGAGCCCAACATCAGATTCTCGGCACTAAACTCCAAGGGGAGAAGTCGCAGCTACATAAAAGAGAGTCTGAAATCAGGCACAAGAACAACTGTTTTCCCTTTCAAGTTTGGAACTACAAAAAAAAAGTTATCAAAAGAAGATAAAATTCACAGAATTAGCAGTCAGTTGTGTCCCTCTTAGTTGTTAATGCTGAATATACATTCGAACCTGGCAGCACTGGTTTTACTTTATATTAACCTAACATCACACTTAGATTTACACAGAG